TGAAGTCGGTTAAGCTGAGAGACAAGCGACTTCTGATGCCTTTCCCCACCTTGCCAATGCCGACACACCACACAAACACACATCACCTGCAAAACTAGGTGGGGCTGTAAGAGAGGTTTTCTGCTGCTGTTGCTGCTGCTTTTTGCCTGTTCCATGGAGTCCCACTCACCTGTTGTTATACCCTCCTTAGGCCTTTCTGCTCTTTTTGCAAACCAGCTTGTCTGCTTTTACTAATCGCTGCAGGGCCCGGAACTCTTTCTAAGCACACTCATGTCTTTTTTTTCCTGCCCAAAGATTCTCAAAGGGTACATCTACACCACAGACTTAAACTGGCAGAACAGAACTGCAGGGGTGGAGAGGTTTTGTAGACAGGGCAGAGGGGTAAGGCAGGCTGTCGAACCTCCAACAGAGATTTGTTAGTGCTCTCAATGAACTTCAATTTCCAGGATTATTTAGAGAGAAGCCGTGAGATACTAACTGCTGTGGAATGCAGAGATGCCGTTTAGAGGCTCGGTGCCTCTTGGTAGAGACCTCCTTCTTGGTTGCTTTGGGACTTTTACTTGCTTGCTTTACTTGCCCTTTGTCTCTCTTCCTCTTCTTCCCTCCGGTACTATTCTTTACTTAGCACTGAAGACTGTTCCTTTCACTGCTCGGACGGGCAAGCGCTCTTCTCGCCTCTTCTGCGACGCCAGTTTCAATGAAGAGAGCCCACTGTAGCTTGTGGCTCTAGGTAACGTGCTGTATCAAAGGCACAATGGTGGATTTATGTAGCCGAGGGGTGGGGAGCTCGGCAGGTAAAGGTGGCATCCTGAAATGACTCCTTCCAGCGCTGGGATGAGCCCTGCAATTGCTGAAGCATCTAGCCAGGCATTTGAGTGAATATGTGAACGGGAGTTCAAACTGTGTGTGTGTGTGCGCATACAATCAGTGTTAGGGCTGGGTGATATATGGTTTTCAACAATGTGATATATAACCAGCTAAACATCACAGTAGACTGATATATCATGGTGTCTGAAATAAGGATGAAGCGATGGAGAGGCTTCACAGTTTTTCCTGTACTGTGATTTTTGCCGGCACCTGCCCTTGCGATTCGCTGCCCCCTGTATGAGGCAGGAGATTGCTGAGCCGGCAGAGTTAACAGGAGCTGCAGGAATCGAGAGAAGCAGTGGCTGGCTTAATGTTTCCCCCCCACATCGTGATTTTTGCATAGCACACACCCGCACACCACGATTCACAATGCATTGCCAGGTCAAAAATTCTGAAAAGCAGTTATCACGATATGGACTTCAAGCTTCTCAGGGCAGTAAACCTTTTAGGTCTGAAAGTGAGATGTGTCTCCAATTTTAAGTAAATAAAAAAGGGAAGATCACACTGCATGCAGCAGGGTGTTTCTTTCATTTCCCTAGTTTTTGAATGAAAAGCAGCCTTGAAGGCTGCCATCAGGAACAGAGGAGTGGGTGCCAAGAATGTGCCGAACGCTCAAATTGGGGCGGTCATTCCTGGATCTTTTTTTCCAGTCGGTGGGAAAAGCAGTTGTGGGGGGCAGGGAAGAAAGCAATTTTGAGGAGGATGGGAAAAGAGTTAAGCAAGTTCGCTCTACTCCTCTCGGTGGTCGCCTCCGAGGTTGTATTTCAATGTAAAAGTCAGGGGAGGGGAACACACCGCTGCGCGTTCTGCATTACAGAAGTTTTAGGGAGAAACCAGCACAGGGCAAATCGAATAGCTAAGCATGTCTGAATGCATGCACCCGAAAGAATTAACTAGGTGTTTTGTTTTTTCTCGTGGCAGGCCTGCGCAACCAGCCGTACCGGCGGGGGGACACCGGTCGGCACAGCGCCAGGAAACGGGCCGTGGGGCAGACGCTGCAGGTGACTGCCGACATCTCGCTGTGACAGCCCCGAATGAGAACAGCAAGCTAGCCAAGCCTTGGTTTGGGGGTGCGAAGCAAGGACTGGGGGGGTTCCTGGCCGACGGGCTTGGACCAAAAGCTCCTCACAACCAAGGAACGACAAAAACTCAGGGCAGGACGATCCCTTTCCTCCTCCTCCTCCGCTTTTAAAGCCATTTGTGGGCTTATGCGCACAACAACCCTGCCAATTCTCCTGCCCACGGGGATCAACGCTGCTTCGTTTTGAACTTCGTTTTCTCGGCCACGTCGGACGGCCCTAAGGTGGAACTATGGCAGGGGCTGCTCTGCCAACTAGGACAGCAGGTGGTTCTGGAAGGCGAGTCCAGCCATTGCAACACCAAGCCAAGAACAGTACCTTCCACAGCCTGGAATGTTTGCGACTGCAGACTCCCTCTGGAGGGAGGAAGCGGAACCCACAGGGTCTCGATTCCTCCTCCCAGCTTGCCCTGGTCCCTTTCCCCCGCCTCATCCAGCTGGGCCATTTCAGTCTGCTCTAATCCTCCACTTCCTCCTCCGGCCTGGAGAAGACAGCCAGTGTTTGCAGGCCAGTTTTCTCTCATCTGACATGAACGGTGCTGTTTGATCCGAGCGAGTAGTTGTACGCTTGTAGGAAGGTTACTTGCCCAGGAATGTGTAACCTCAGGATCATTTAAGCCATTGAAGTGGTGCAACGAGGGGGTCCACCAGGACTTTGCCAGGGGGGTGAGGGGCAGCAAGCACCCTGTACAAAACAGCTCCAGCACTTTTTAAACCTCCTTGGACAGGTGCCACGACCGCCTTGGCCTTGTAGGACACAAACGGCAGGCAGCACTTCAGGTTTATGCTGTAGAGAGGGCTAACAGCCTGTGTAGTTTTCTCCCTTTGCAACATTTCGGCTGGCACAGGGCTGGCTGAGGATGCCTGGGATTGCAGTCTTAAGCCCCTACCAAGGCTCTCGTGGTTCTAGATGACCCAGGAGTCTCTGCTGCCCTCCATATTTTCATGAGGGCAACGAGACGAGAGTTTGATCATTGCACCTAAGCAATCAGAGTTGTCCTTCCTTTCAAGGCTCCCCACCACCACCTGAAGTCACTCCCCTCGTGCACGTCGTAAGATGGGAAGTGCCCAGCCGCTAAGGAGGAAAGAAGACTGGGCTCTAAGCAGGAGACGTAAATCTTCCTAAGTATAATGTTTGGTTAAAGTTATGAATATAATTTTGGCGGCTTATTCTAGCACAACGGCCATCCCTAGGAAGCAGTTGCGGTCCGTGGAACAGTCTCTCAGGATTTAAGTATTTGGCACAGGCGGCACTTTGGCATTTTTGAAACCAACACGCTCTGACGCAGAGAAGCTCAGAGGCTTCGTGACAATCAAAACAGGGGAGCAAAGTTGCTTTTCTTTTTCTTGCCACGTGGTGTCGCCATTTCTGCGGGGTTTTCCACCGGTGCTTTTTCTCCAACCTGTGCCCTGGGTTCTAGTCTCTTCCCGCCCCCCCAAGAACTAAAAGTAGAGGTAATTAGGTCAACCAGGTGATACCCGCTATAATTTCCAAGAGCACAATGGGGTGGTTCCTCTCCCCGCCCACCCCCCAATGAATCTAAGCAGCAAATGAATTTGTAGATGGGGTAAGATTTCTGCCCCAAGGGTCAGGCTGTCCGATGGACTCTGCATCATGGAGCCACTTTGCTTACAAAGGCAGACCCAAGGGGTAAGCTCACCTTGCTTTGAAGCAAGGGGGCGATCCTAACAGACCCAGGATGTAACGTCTTTCGGCAGCTCTGTGGGTTCCCAGTGGACAAGGGCACTTGCAAGTTGAGCATCTGCTCTCCCCCTTGTTCTTTACAGTTCATGCCTTTTTTCTTATCTGGGGGTGGGGAGGGGAGATTGTGAAAACTCCAAAAGGGATACAGCTCATCCCATCCACCCCAGCACAAATCCAGGCCCCCTGGGACGGATTCTGCCTACAGGGGATGTTGCATTCCTACCCTGTTCACCCCAGCATGCAAGCTTTGCAGCAATAAATGCATACATCAGCGGGTGTTGGCCTGCAGACCTAACAGCCCCCCCTGTTCCGTCTCCGCTGGAAAGGAACAATTTCTTTAAAAGTCATGCAAAAGTCAACACCCTACTCTTCATCTGCTCATCCGGCTTTAGCCTTCGAGCTGCACACCCGCTTAGAAACTCCCGGTTTAGACTTAGGCTAACATTTGCTTTCTCCTGTAACCTTAAAAGCAGCTTAAAGAAAAGAAAAACAATCACAGCATATACACTCAGAACAGAAACCTTGGACACTGTTTCATCACACACTTTTGGGGGCGGGTGGGCGGGGGGAGAAGGGGATATTAGGAAAAGAATTGAATGTGCAACCTATTGTTTTTAGAAATGCCTTGAATCATGGAGGGGAGGACCAAAACGCCCCTGTATGATTGCTATTTGTATACATTATTTTTATATATGGTTATGTGAATTGCATTTAATCCAAAGCGAGTTAACCATGAGAGCAAATAATAAATGTATTCTAAAGATGCAAAAGGTGCCTGTGTTCAAAGAGTGTGCCGGTAGTCTGCTGGAGGGCAAAGACCTTCATAAGGTACATGCAATTTTTAAGCTCCCCCCCCCCCCACCGGCTGCCTCTGCTGCAGAGTCCACTAAGAAATCAATTTGCCCACAGCAGTGGAATGCTGTTGCTTGCACCCCTTGTGATTGCGGCTTCTCAGTACACTTGTACCTTGGAAGCTGAACGGAAATCGTTCCAGAAGTCCGTTCAACTTCCAAAACATACGGAAACCAAAGCATGGCTTCTGAGTGGTTGCAGGAAGCTCCTGCAGCCAATCAGAAGCCGTGTCAAACGTTTGGGTTCCAAAGAATGTTTGCAAACCAGGACACTCACTTCCCAGTTTGCAGCATTCGGGAGCCAAAATGTTTGGTTTACAAGGTGTTCGGGATCCAAGGTACGACTGTATGTCCATCCAAAATTCAGAGCAGGGAGCGGTGCAGGGGTACACAGTTGGCTGAGGCTACCCACATTACAATCTTTTCTACGCACAGTATTTCAAATGTGAAATCTCTTCATGCACCTTTTTTACCACATTGCAACACAACACGAAGAGTTAGTTATACATTTATTTATTAGGTGCTAGAGAACGGACAATAGGGAGTGTCTATATTGTGCCTGTTTTGTAGTCTTTCTAATAGAAATCCAGCTAATTAATTTAGCATGCTGGATGGACTCAATGGACATTTTAATTTGGGCGGTGGGTGGGAGGGGAGGAATACACACAAACTTGCACACATATCATTTGTGACTCTCGCCGGACTCTGCATGGATAGGTAAGTTAAGTGGCAGCAGAACAGCTGCCGTTGTGTATCCCACTCCTGCTGAGAAACTTAGTGAAACAACTTGGCATGCACTGCTTTGGGACACGGGGAATGGCTGGGACACGGGACCCACAAACCTGAAGCATTAAGACCAACCTCACTCCAAATCAAGAATTGCCCAAGAGCAGAGCAGCAATGCACAACACTGTTCAATAAAATAAAACGCCACAAAAGTCATTTGCTACCCCAAAAGGTGTAATTTTGCTTCATTTCCATGACAGCAATACATACATTATCATGGTGTTCTGGAACATCACAGGAAGGCAAAAGAAGGTAACAACAGATTTAGGCCACTGTTAGTATTGCATAGGTCTGGCAACTGGCAGAACTGACTTGAATCCAAAGAAAAGCAGGCATGTGCCCATCTCAATAACTATTTTGTCCCACTGATGTCAACAATTAGAGTGGAACTAACATTCCCTGCACTGGAGCCCTGGGATCTACAAGAACCAAAGAGTCTAGAGGAGTCTGGCTGCGATCATATCCCAGGACTTTCCCCACTCCTTCAAACTGAGGAAACCCCCCCTCAAAAAAATAATAATACTTTTGTCTTTTCAAAATCAAGGGCAGACAAAGACTGCAGAGTCTTGTTCTTGCAGAGCAAAACACAGCTATTCAGCTTGCATTTCAAACCTCTGAAAACAAAGTACAGCACAGCCAACCCTCTGACAAAAATGATTGTTTCCTAAAGCAAATTTGCAGAGCAAGTGGAAAGAGTACGTATGAAATGAATGAATGAATGAAAGCAAGGCAAAGCATCAGTGCTTTCATATTACCCACTCTAGGCTTCCACGGTGCTGATTGTATTGCTGAACTACAGCACTCAGAAGCCCAGGGGCTAGCACTGGAGGATTAAATATTTCCCAAAATATCTAGAGGGCCGCAAGTTCCCCACCTCTGCTCCAGAAGTTCTTTCCTGGAACATTCTGCAGTAATTTATATAGACTAGAAGGACCATGGGTGGTTGTAAAGCCACAGGGCTAGTGGAGATCACTAAGTGCACAAGAGCTCCAATCTAAATGGGGAGCAAGAACATTTGCCTCTCAAAAAGCGGGTAGATAAACTGTCCTGTCTCCCTCTTTCAGCAGCTGCATGCAAGAACTGAACAAGGCTTGCAAGATGTAGGTCTAACGTGCTGCAGAGAAGAGCAATGGGACAAAGAGATTATTAAAGGAGCTAGGAGTGTAGGCCTCCCTGCCCCAGTTTCCTTTTCTAAATGGTAAATTCCCTGCCATTTAACTTGGTAGCAACCAAAAACACACTACTTTTGCCCAGCCTCTTCCCTTCTAAGCTACTGCAGTGCCTCTTCTACACACCAGGTGGCACCCATACCAGTTCCATTCGTTTTCCTTTAAAAATAACGCCGCAAACCTTGGTTTGCTGATTTTACCGCAGCCTTGATGGCAATTTATGCCTTTGTGCTGGCTGCCACGCAAAACCACAACGAAGGCTGGACTGAAAGGATGTTGGCCTTTAAAGTGGCTTGTTGTAAAATATTTCCTCTTGGCACGTGTACACCAAGGGAGGCTTGGGGAAAGGAAGCTCTTCCGGGGGAGCAGGTGATTTGGAAAAGGGTGATGATGCCCTATGATGTCCCTCCTTTTTAAAAACACGCCTCTTCTTTTTTCTACCCTACTTCAGAGAGTTTAGAAAGAGGCAGCTTCCTTGCCTGACAGCAGAATCAACCCCAACGGGATAGAATAACCTTAGCTCCGAAAGAAAAGAAAAAACCAAACCATTTTATGCCACCTGAGAATGGCCACAGCCATCCCAGAATGGCTGCCTTCCAGTCTCCAATCCCTGCAGCGCCATGGCTGTGGCTGAGATTAGCCAGCCTTCATTTTGTAGGCGGCATTAATATTCCAGACAGGAAGCTCAGCAAGGAAGTGGGTTCAGATTCATAGCTTAGTAAGCTTCAGGCAAGGCTTTGTCATAGCAGGACATCCTTGTACCCAACAAGGAAAGAGGACTTCCCTCCTAATGAAGTTCCTCATCTAGTCACTTTCATTCATTTACCCAGATCACTTGGCACAGAACAAAGCCACTCCAAACTCTACAAGGTCAACCGTGCCAATATGCACACAATTTTTTTTTATATTAAAAAAATCATATATATTGTACTGATTTGCTTACTTTATTTCACGTTTACATTTTGCCTAAAACTCTTCTGCTATAGAGTTTGGATTTCTAAGGCTGCAATCCTATGTATGCAATTAGTTCGGTGTAAAGTCCCACTAACAGCAGTGGGGCTATTTCTGAGTAAGCATGCTAAGCCCTGGCTCTGTTAAGACACATGCAGTTCTCTCTATTTAGGGCAGAAAAAGAAAAGAAAATGGAATCAAAACCTAAAACGTAAGGAGCTCTACTTGAAATGTCTGTGTCAGTCATCACTAATCACCAATGGGGGTTGTAGCTGAAAACATATCTATGAAGGGATGCATATCAGGTGACCCACCAAGCCAAAATATATATATATATATCAAATTTCCTATTTCTTGCTGCCTGTCCAGGGGCTGCAAAAACCTACAAAGCAACTGTTTGGCTACGGTACATGTCTGCCAAGGTTATTGGGTTTGGTGGGTTACAAACAATACAGGCCCGGATTATATGAACAAACTGAGACACACTCAACTGATTTCCCATCCTGTCATGCATTTCACCATGAGATGGAATGCAAAGCTGGTTGCGTTTTGACGCCAAGCACAGAAAACTCCCCTCAAACACCCCAAAAGGGGCACTTGGAGAAATTTGATGCCCGGAATTTTAAGCTCACCGAAATGTGGCCAAGTAGCGATTCACCAAGCCAAACAGGGCTCAGGCATATTCAGGCCTTTGAGGTTTTTGGCCACACAAGGCAGGCAGCAAGAGCAGGTGCTCTTATCATCAAAGCACTGGTGGGCTGCCATAGGCACTGGATGGTGCGCAAAACCAAAGCTGGCTGTCCATTGCACAGCTAGGAAAATTGCCATGCAACTGAAATTTAATACGACGAATCTTCCAGCACAGACTTCTGAGCTTTCTCAGAAGGTGCCGCATGCTACCAGTTTCGCTGAGGAAGTTCCCAAGCGAATCAGATATGTGTTGCTGACTACATTCCTCCAAGCTGCTCAGGGCAACGGTTTTTGCAAGGCAACAAGCGTGCTGCAAACAAGCGTGGTGATGAGAAAGTGAGTTGGCCAAGGTGACCTGATGTGCTTTGTCTCCAAGGAGGTTCCCCACCTCTTAAGCCCATTGCTGGGTTTGGGGAACTTTACTAAGCCCCACTGGGCAAATCAGAACTTCCCATTTTCCTTGGGATTGGTAGAAGGCGGTTGGGTTAAGAAATTGACCGCCTGCCCGCAACCCAGCAGATCAGGCTCTTCCTAGTCTTCTGGGTCAGTTTCATAAACGCAGACACAATAATTCAGTTTTTTCTGCCACCCAGCCCATAAACCTGGCTGCACACAAGGGCTGGCAGAGAAGCAGAGAGGAACCAAACCTATAACCTACAACCACCAACAATATTCAGCACTCAGCTATCTGCAGATACCACATCTGGCTCCGTGGGGGATATCACAGGAGTGTCATGGGGAGAGACAGCATCCCTTAAGGCTTCTTCTCTAGTTGGCCATGTTTGACCCTCCAGCTCCAGCCACAGCTGCTGTCAGGAGCAAGGGTGCACTGAAGTTCGATGCCCAAATCAGGGACCACCATGTCGCAGCGGACGGGTTGGCCTTCCTTGGTGAAGAAGCTGAAAGCAGAGGCCGGTATCTGTGAAAGCAGAACACACACACACAAAAAGGTGAAGGGGCCTGACTCCACAACAACTGGATCAAATCAACGCTTCCAGGTGTCATAAGAAAGCTGCAGATAGTACAGGATAGTGCGCACACCCCGGAAATGATCTCTTTCAGCTTCTGCCTTCTGGAAGAAGGTACAGGGTTATAAAGACTAGGACTAGCCGTCTGAGAAACAGTTTCTATCCAAATGCAATTTTGGTTTTAAACACAGTGTAAGGTAGTCTCTATGGGAGTATATTGTATTTAATTATGGGGTATCATAGTTTTTAGGGGGCTAACCAGGCTGGGATAGCAGGCTTGTTGGTTTTTGAATGTCTGATGTAGATTTTTTCAATTTCGTTGTTCTGCATGGGACAATGACAATAAAGATTATCGTATTGTATCGTATTGTAACTGCACGTTTATTTCTAGTTGACAGAGGAAGAAACAAAGTCACATCACATGCATTTAAAGGGGGAGTGGGCAAAAAATTCATTGCATGTGTATTTCTGGGCCCACAGCAGAGTTCAGCAAGAGCAAAGTGGCCATGTTGATTATCTTTCTTCCTCGAGACAATGGAGGAGTGTGCCTCCAGCGGTGGAGCCAGACCACTGCACTAGCAGCACTGAAGTAACCTCCCTGGGGCGCAAACCTGGGCAGTCTGTATGGAGGTCCTGGGTTGCTGATGACAAGACGCCCCCTCTCAGCCTCGCTGATAAGGTCCAAAGGAAAGCAGAGCAATATGTCTGGCACCATCTGGGCTGCAGGAGTTGCTGGAAGAAGGCATACAAAGTGCCATCCAACCGTCTTAGGGACTCCACTCTGGATTTGTGCAGGGTTTAATCCTTAGCCTTTTCTTCTCCAGAAGATATCTTGCAAGGCGGAGAAGGATTAAGATGACATTCCCAAATACAGTGGTACCTTGGTTCTCAAAAAACTTGGTACTCAAATGCCGAAAACCCAGAAGTTAAGTGTTCCGGTTTTCGAACGTTTTTCGGAAGCCGAACATCCGATTCGGGTTTTGGCTATTGTTTCCGGGGCACCTGCACCAATCAGAAGCTGCGCCTTGGTTTTTGAACATTTTGGAAGTCAAACAGACTTCTGGAACAGATTAAGTTTGGCGCTTTTGTTTTTGCTATTTATTTTGCGTTTTTGTGGCTTTCTCGGTTAATTTGTTTTTGTGACTGGGTAGAATCCAGTTCAGCTACTGACTGACTGCGGAAATGGATAAAAGCCCCCCATCCAAACAATGACTATCATCAGCGCAGGTAAGAAAAAAATAATAATATTAATTTTTATCATCTACAATACTGTCTTATTCATTTTATAGTGCGGTACATTGATTATTGCTTTCATTTTATGGATCAATGGTCTCGTTAGACAGTAAAATTCATGTTAAATTGCTGTTTTAGTGGTTGTTTTTAGAAGTCTGGAAAGGATTAATCGTTTTGCATTACTTTCTATGGGAAAGCGCGCCTTGGTTTGGGAACACTTTGGTTTTGGAACGGACTTCCGGAACGGATTAAGCTTGAGAACTAAGGTACCACTGTAGCCCCATTTTGCAGTACTTCTCACCTCCAAAAGGAGAGAGGTCTACCAGGGCAGAACTCACCTGGCTGCTGATTCCAATGGCCACATCTCCCACCTTGGCGCCACGAAACTCTCGGATGTGGAGACTTTCCCCGCTGAGCAAGCGGATCTCAATTTTCACTCCTGGAAGGCAGAAATAGAGAGCTAAGCATTTACTTGCCACCTGAAGATAACACTCTATACATCTGACAAAGCAGCTTCTGGTCCATTAAAGATCATGCCAAATAAATCTATCAGGATGCTTCCTGGCTGTCGCTATTTTCAGGTGGGATTTGCTCACCTACTGGCAGATTGCAAGGGCCCCGAACAAATAACTCACTTTCCCAAACAATCAGACTTCTTTCTGATAAGAGCAATGGCAAGATGCACTGAGAAATGCAAGGTAGTCTTTATAAAAACTTATGGAATATGCAGAAACGGCGAAGCTTACCAGAAAAATAAGAAATCAAGGCAGCAAACTTTTTATAAAAGAATGGAAATGGTTTATGGAATATTTACAAATAAACTGCAAACAGGTAAGAACATTGGCAGGATTATTGTCATAATCTGCAGTTTTTTTATAAGAGTATGTATTTAAAGTACATGAATAAATGATTAAGTTCATGTGGAATATGCAGAAAATATAAAAAAATTAATTTAAGGAACCGCAGAAAGAGGGGGAAGGAAATGTCAAAATGATTGTAAAATTACTGAAAGGTATAAAATTGAAAATCATAAAAAAGAGAAATGCAAGGCAGCCAACTATATCCTGGTATTCGATGTAAAACGAATTTTGCTGCCAATTCTAGTGTTTACTGGTTTATTAGTAATGATTACATGGTCTAATTAGCAATTAGTAATTCATGTGCCAATGAAACACACCACAAAATGGAACAGTTTAACACAATAGTGCCTTTGGCAAGCAAATGCAGAAGAAGCCATTTGGCCTCTGGCTTGCTTAGTACCGTATGGACCGAGAACAGAACCTACCATCAAAGTAGGTGGGCATATCTGTATTCCTGCTGAGATGCAGCCAGCTGTTCCAGCTGTTGCTCTGCCCATCTGTTTGGCTGCTCCACGAACCCACTCCAGAACTCATGGTTTCCTTCAGGCTCTGAGATGTTTTCAATGAGTCCTAGAGAAACAGAAAGCGATAGCAATGTCATTCTTCCGCAGGCACACATGCAGTGTCTAGTTTCCAATGCCCCACGGTATGGGGGTCACTTCTTAACTTCAGGTAGCCTCCCTCCCAGGCATGTCCAAAGGACTGGAAACCTGGACAAGACATAGAATCTGGCACTTCTCTCACTACCGGAACAGTATGAAGAGAAAAAGAGGCACCTGCTAATATCTATAGGAAGCTCACAAGCAGGACCTGGGAGCCCTGAATAATAATAATAATAATAATAATAATAATAATATTTTATTTGTACCCCAGCCACTCTGGGCAGCTTCCAACAAAGATTAAAAATACATTAAAATGTACACCAAGAAGAAGTGAAATCTCTGGCACCCGTCCCAATTTCTTTCTGGGCCACACGCTAAAAGGTTTTCACAGCTCAGAGGCAGGAGATGCTTCCGGGACCAAATCAGGTAATTGGCACAATGCAAGGAAAAAGGTAAAGGTAAAGGACCCCTGGACGGTTAAGTCCAGTCAAAGGCGACTATGGGGTGCGGCTCTCATCTCACTTTCAGGCCGAGGGAGCCGGCCTTTGTCCACAGACAGCTTTCCGGGTCATGTGGCCAGCATGGCTAAACCGCTTCTGGTGCATGGAGGACCATGAGTGCCAGAGTGAAACCAGAGTGCATGGAAACGCCATTTACCTTCCCGCCACAGCAGTACCTATTTATCTACTTGCACTGGTGTGCTTTCGAACTGCTAGGTTGGCAGGAGCTGGGACCGAGCAACGGGAGCTCACTCCATCACGGGGATTCCAACTGCCGACCTTCTGATCGGCAAGCCCAAGAGGCTCAGGGGTTTAGACCACAGCGCCACCCGCATCCCGGCACAATGCAAGCAGTCATGGGTCCCTCCTGCTTGTCCTCCTGTACTTGCCTTCTCACTGGCGTCTGACGGGAGAGCACTGTCCAAGCTGAGGCACAACAGCATCTGTTCCTGCTCCTCCAGAGAGAAGGGCTGAGACAGGCTGTTTCGAATCAGCTCTGTGGGAAAGGAAACAGGCTACAATGAAAACAGATCATCCCCCAATCACCCCTGGCCCTCAGCAAGTTCCAGATTTGCGCCCCCCCATGACAAGTGGGGTCGTGCTATGCAGCTCTGCCCCATTTTTCAGAGAACTACATTTGACTAATTTTTGAACACATTTGCCAAGTAATCAATGCAGTTTTAAACAAACCCTGTGCATATTTTTATCACCATTTAACTCCCTAACCTCCCGCTCTCTTCAGCACAGCCTTTCTCATTTCAAATGCTCCATAAAAGCTCCTCCTGCTAATCAGTATCTCACTCTTTCAGCCCATTTGGTGTTGCCTCATTTACACAGCGCCTCACCAATAGGCTTGCATTGAAAGACCTGAGCAAGGTTCTCAATAAATAAAATCAACGTGTTATAGTGACAACTGGCAGCTCAGAACATGAGCTGCACTGAGCTAGGAATCAAAGTCCAGATATAAGGCCACCTGGAGGGGAAATGGTGGGTGGAGGAAGGGTTCAGCAACCCCTCCCCACACAGCTTCTCTGCTTAAGACTGCAGCCTCACCATGCTGCTTTTCACAGCCGCTTGGCACCACTTATGTTAGGAGACATCAGCCTACGGTCGTAACAGATAATTCAACCATGAACCAGATGGTTCTTATGTGAAAGGACTGAGTCCACAAAGCTCAAACCATGAAAAAAAGTGCTTGTTTTAAAACAGACATAGGCAAACTCCAGCCCTCCAGATGTTTGGGACGACAATTCCCATCACCCCTGACCATGGGTCCTGTTAGCTAGGCATGATGGGAATTATAGTCCCAAATATCTGGAGGGCTGGAGTTTGCCTATGCCTGCTTTAAAACAACAATAGGAGTTTGCCTATGCCTGTTTTAAAAAAACAAGCATATTCTGTTTCCTTCATGGAAGCCTATTCAGTGTTCTTTTTCATATACAGTGGTACCTCGGAAGTCGAACGGAATCCGTTCTAGAAGTCTGTTTGACTTCCAAAACATTCAGAAACCAAAGCACGGCTTCCGATTGGCTGCAGGAAGCCGCGTCGGACGTTTGTGTTCCAAATAACATTTGCAAACCGGAACACTCACTTCCAGGTTTGCGGCGTTCAGGAGCCTAAGCATTCGACTCACGAGGCGTTCGGGATCCAAGGTACGACTGTATATATTTTAAAAATCATGATAGGATTTATTCTACATGGATTTGAAAGAAGACTCAATACACTGAGGCTCCATAAAGGTACAGAGAAAGACAAGAGCAATGATCCCGGCAATATAAAAAAGGCGCTGTGGAAATCAGCTATACCAGATGCAAATCGTCCTAAACCCAAAATGGCAATGAATGAGTCATGGCAGGTTGGGCTGAACTAAATCAAGAAAGCAATGGAAATGACATGGGGCATAAAGAGCAGCTGGAGAAGCGCAGATAACACTTCTCCTACCGGAAACAAGATGGGGAAGGAACCCTATCCTTCTGAAAAACCCTCGCCCCCGCTTCAATAAAATTTAGCAATGTGCCATTGACAAGATATTGGAATTCAACAAAGATTCCCTTTTCAATACCTGCATGAAGCCAAAAGGAGCCCAATTTATTGTTTTAACCTTGAAAATGGAGATATTCGGTGTTTGTTCTTTTAAATCGCTATATCCCATCTTATCCATGCTTCTTTCTATTCTGCTACAACCACCCAGGCACAAGATACATCGGCGCTGTGCATAGATGTAATTCCATCCCTCCTTTTTATCTTTTAAGCACACAACCCTTCCTTGCCTGGTCCTCCAACCAACCAACAGGAAGCAGGTAGTACTGCCCTATATGTACAACCCTTCAACTCTGGGGCAGCAGAGCTGCACACAAAGAACTCGCTAGGCAGGAGACTTGAGAGCAAGATGACGAATAAAGGCACATTTCCAGAGAGAAAGACGAGAAGCGCAGTTCGGTCATTACCAAACTCCAGCTGCTGAAGCTCAAGTTCAAAGGACGTGGTTCTCCAGTCCGTCAAACTGCCCCTCTTGGCGCTGAGAGGAGGCAGGAAGCAGAGCTGCAGAGAGTCGCACGGCTGCATTAGTTCCTTGCACGTGCTCAGAGGGATGAACTGCGCCTTCTCGGCCAGACCGTGGCGGGGAAGTGGGAGGGTGCGGCATTCGGGAGGCTCCGGGATTGGCAGCGGTGGGTCTGGGAGACTAGGCACTGGGGCCAACTGTAGGCTTCGGGGTTGTCTGTATTCTCCTTTCCAGGGGCTCTTCAGGCCTCCCACTGCAAAGCGAAGGGGAAATGTTAGGTCCGAGGAAGAGAAAGGAGCACTTGCTGGAGCGGAATCACCCAGAAGGTTTCGTTTCTTTTGAATTCCATGTGACTCCCATTAAGTGAAGAAAAAGGATGCATTGATGGGATGATCATTTGAAGCTTTACCCAGCAGCAGGGAGTGTGTGGTGTGTGTGTTTGTGACCTCAAGACCGAGGGCCAAATGAGGCCCCCAGATTTCTCTGCCTGGCCCCTGGAACTTTCCCCAGCCCACACCCTTCCCTGGTCCTGTTTTACCCCCAAGTGTTTTTTTCCTAGCTGCAATTTGTCCTTGACATCTGGTGGCTCTGGCTTGTCTGGATGGAGGTGTGTTAGTGTGTGTGTTTAGAAGTTACCCTATGGTAGAAAGGCAAGAATTACACCCACAGCTCTTCCCACCTTTGCCTCTGGCCTCACCTGCCACACACAGTGTGTTAAAGCAAACAGGTTACAAACGCCTGGAATTCCTGCGGCTAAATTATACCTGTTGTAGCTGCCGTACCTGGCCAAAGGCAGTCTTTTTAACCTGCCTCAAAACATCAGCCTTCCCATTCGCTACACCACCGAAAGCCCAAGTTGTAAAAGTTGCCTGTGATTCGTTACGGCAGGGAACAGCATTTTGAAAATAAAGGCACACTCCCTGCTGTCTGGCGGGAATGCGCGAAACAAGGGTTGCCGAATTGGGCCCAATATGCTTGACATGCGGAACACAATCAACTGTGGATTCAAAATTTAAGGACAGTCAAAAACCCAAGTGTTCTGTGATTGATGGGGGACACCCACCCTCACTCACAGATGACGGCAGCACTTGGGGACCGCCTCTCCTGGTATGTCCCATGGAGGACCTTACGGTCTGCAACACCCTGAAGATTCTGGGCCCCAGGGAGATTAGACTGGCCTCGATCAGAGCCAGGGCCTTTTCATCCATGGACCTGGCCTGGTGGAACGCTCTCTCACAAGAGACCAGGGGCCTGCGAGATTTGACCTCCTTCCGCAGGGCCTGCAAGACGGAGCTGTTCCACCAGGCCTTTGGTCAGGGTTCAGTCTGACTCATTTTCTCTTTGTATAAGAACAAGCACAAAGGAGGTTTCCCAGCCTGCTCACAGGTCCTTATAATATCAGTGGAAACAGTTGGTCCTGGCGAGTATTAACTGCTTTCAATTTTAACCTGAGGGTTGTCATTTGTCCAGTTTTAACTTTAATTTATTTGGGATGCTTTTTAATCGATTGATTGCTTGTTTTTATGCATACTGCATTATTTATATGCTAGCCACTCTGAGCCCGGCTCCAGCTGGGGAGAGTGGGGTACAAATAAAAATTTATTATTATTATTATCATTTTAACTCACAGCACAAGAACCGGATCTGCCGAGTGCCAACAGCCAAGTAGTCCTATTAAAGCCAACACAACAAGCATTTGGCAGCAGCGGCAGCAAATAAAGCACGTCGCATGCCGCAAGCAGCTTTTTGTCACCAGCGAGGTGTTGGGCTCTGGTAATCCGCCACTTGTTTAATAGCTGTAGGAAATCCTCACCCTTTTCAAGGGCCGCACAGGCTTTCACCCTCAGCTCCGCTGCAGAGGCCCGTCGGGCCGGATCCTTCTCAAGACCCGCCTTGATGAGATGGGCGGTGGATGGGTGGCAGGAGGGTGGGATTTCTCTCAGTGGAGGCGGCTCTTTGGCGATCTGCAATACAGAAAATGCGGGGAAACGTCAGGTGTCAGAAGCGGCAATGTTTACCAGAGGAGAAGGAGGCAGGTCTGTTAGACGGGTCAGGTTATCCACATGATCCTAAAGAGGGTTTTTTTAATAGAAGATGATGTACCGTTGGTTTATTACACCTGAGAAACTATTTGCAATGTACAAATGTATTTCAAATGTTTGCTGGAAGTGCCAAGGACACAAAGGGACATTTTGCCATGCTGTGGTGGACATGTAAAAAGGCTAAAAAATATTGGATACAAATACGTACGCTGACACAGTCAAACCTCGCTTGTCAAATGTAATCCATTCCGGAAGCCCATTCTGAAATGTTCTACAACCGAGGCGCGGCTTCCGATTGGCTGCAGGAGCTTCCTGCACTCAAGTGGAAGCCGCGTCGTACGCTCGGTTTCAGAAAAATGTTCGTAAACCGGAACACTTACTTCCGGGTTTTCGGGAGCCAAACCATTCCTGAACAGAGGCGTTTGGGAACCGAGGTTTGACTGTACAGCAGATTTTAAAGGTTAATATTAACTGTAAGCCAGAAGTCTTTCTTTTAGGGTTAATGGACACATCTGGAAAAGGACTATGGAAGATTACCCCAATAAATTAGTGTATGCTCGGGTTGTGAACGTGATCCGTGTGGAAGGCACATTCGCAACCCGCAGCGCCGCGTCTGCACACATGCGGGTTGCGATTCAACGCTTCTGTGCATGCGTGACCGTCGAAACCCAGAAGTAACCCGTTCCAGTACTTCCGGGTTTCAGCGCATCCGTAACCCGAAAAAACGCAACCTGAAGCGTCTGTAACTCGAGGTATGACTGTGTAGTGGCGAAACCATTATATGCACAAAGATGGAAAGATAGACTTACCCACTATAGAGGAACAGAGGATAAAACTACAGCATCACAGTGAGACTGCAGAGAAGCTGAAGAAACCGTTTGCCATAAGCAGCCCCAGAGGGAAGTTACAGCCGCGCCCTGGAATGCCCTCTTCTGCTTCCTTCCACCATTGATGGACCTGGGAGGTCCTTCAAGGAAAGGCACTGCTCACCTCTCCAAAGTGTTTTTCTCTATTATTTATCCATCAATCCCTCTTCCCCTCCACGACACCCTTTCCTGGATCAGCAGCCGTGCACACCATACCTGAAGATGGAAGGGAGTTCGTCCTTCCAAATGCCAATGCGCCCTGACTAAATCAGGCCAGCCCACCTGCATGTCTGCAAAAATGCAACTGACCTTGAGGCACAGAGGGTGGTTGTAGTACTGGGTCCAGGGGTGGCAGCCGTTCAAGAGATGCAGCATCATGCAGCAGCTGCTCCAGACGTCTGCCTTGGAGTCGCAGCGCTTCCCCATCACCACCTCGGGGGCCAGGTGGGTCTCTGTGCCAGGAACATAATCCCCTGGAAATGCAATGGAGGAGATCTGCTCTCTAAGGTCTTGTGCAGAAGCAGCCCATACACAGGCGGTTCTTAAAGGGGAAAGGGTAGCAGTTTGGACCCAAACAGGAGACCTGGGGTAGTATAGCAGACTCGAGGCTGGACTAGACTCTGTTTGTGGAATGCTCTCCCCAGAGAGACTCGCCTGGTGCTTCATTATCCACCTTTAGACACCAGGCAAAAACATTCCTCTTTAACCAGGCATCCAATGCCCTTTTTAAATGTATTGGGTTGTTTTTGTTTTAGTTATGTGTTTTGTGTTTTTATATTGTGATTTCATCCTGTGAACTGCCCCAAGACCTGCAGGTATAGGGCGGTATATTATTATTATTATTATTATTATTATTATTATGCAACAACAGTGGGTGGAGGACCTGGGCGAAAATCTCTGCTCACTTATGAAACACAGGGAGCCCTTGGCCAAATCACACTATCTTGGCCTAATCTATCTGGCAGGGATGTTGCAAGGATACAGATGTTTGTGTGTAATCAGGATTGCATGATCTCTTAGATAGATAGATATAGATATGTCATAAAGATGTAAAATGAGTGTTTTAAATTGTAAAATTGAAAATTTAATAAAATTATTTTTATTAAATTTATTAAATTTTCTATTTTACAATTTGAAATACTCATTTTACATCCTTAAGATATCAATGACTTCCCTTCTTCTCTTTCCATGGTTCATTTTACAGATCATCAATCCTGCATATTTTACAAAAACTGTACCATTCAGTATTCCATTACTGTATCCATCAAAACATGTTTACACTGTTGAATGTATCTTAATGCTGCCAGCATTTTCAGCTGCATACAATTATTTCCCAAATATTCAATTAACGTTTTCCAATTTTCTTGAAACGTATGTTCTTCTTGTTCTTATTCTGTATGTTAAATCTGGAAGTTGTGCATATTCTGTCAACTTACGCTGCCATTCTTCTTGGGTTGAGACCTCGCTCATTTTCCATTTGGGGGGCCAGGATTCCATGATCTCCACCAGCAGGACATAGCTGACTTCCCATGGTAAACACAAGGCTGTCAAGCGTGTATGTCTCTCTAAGTTTGTGTTATGCAGCTGTTTTGTGACTGGCAACCCCAGCACTCTCAAAATCTGAAAAGTGCCCATTAGTCCAAAAAGGTTGGTGACCCATGGTCTCCTCCGTAAGACCTAGCACTGGATCCCACCCCTACTTGATTGGTTCTCGGCTTTATAATAACATAGGGCATGGAAGACACTTTGAACATTCAAAACAACAACACATAAATGCTAAGCATTATTGCTTTGTTTCATTTTAAGAAAAGCCATTATCTACCGCTTATGTTCACATGGATATGTTTGAAAGCATACATATAATGACTGCTCCTGAAATCTCAGAAGCTAGAGGGACGACTGAGTAAGATCATCAGTGCTTGGGAGGTGGGCCTTCAATGCCCTTGCCCTTTTGGGGCTGGCAAAACCAAAATAAAACTATGCAGAAAAACTCAATTTGCATAATTTATACAAGCTACGAACCCCTAGGTTTCTTGGCACAGAATATAGACCCCCCTGGGCGCAGAAATTTATCTATTCGGCACGGATTACATAGAACCCCATTGATGCCTAAATATAATGCCAGGGGAAGTAGAGGGGAGTGCAGAGGCTGGGTGGTGGCATATCTCACGCGGGACTGGCAGCGGGCAGAGCGGGCACACCTCCATGATTTTTATTACAAGGCAGGCTAAGGGCATTTAAATGAAAGCATGTGAAGCAGCCTAAACATAGGCTCGGGGCGTATCCTCGACCTTTTGCTGAACTGACCGTAACTAACCTGTCATCAAATGCTTCCCCATGCCATCCGGGTGAAGGTGAGCTGCGTGACCAAAATCACAGAGGACAGCGTGGCTTCTGTCGCTGGACAAGAGGATGTTGTCAGCTGGCAAGGAAAAGGTCACAATGGTTTGCCTGCCATCGAGATCCAGGCGCATCCCAATAATAATAATAATAATAATAATAATGATAATAATAATTTTTTTTTATACCCCACCCTCCCCAGCCAAGGCCGGGCTCAGGGCGGCTAACAAGCAATAATAAAAACAAGTTGAATGAATACAACTTAAAAACAAGATTAAAATACAATTAAAATATTGAAACATTAAAATATTAAAATGCAGCCTCATCACAGGAGGAGAAAGGAAAAAGAAAAAAGAAAAGAGGGGGAGGGAATCAAATTGGCTCCAAGCCAAAGGCCAGGGGGAACAACTCTGTCTTACAGGCCCTGCAGAAAGAAATCAGATCCTGTAGGGCCCTGGTCTCATGAGGCAGAGCGTTCCACCAGGCCGGAACCAGTGTTGAAAAGGCCCTGGCTCTGGCTGAAGCCAATCTAACTTCCTTAGGGCCCGGGACCACTAGGGTGTTGCTATTTATGGACCTTGAGGCTCTCCGTGGGGCATACCGGGAGAGGCGGTCCCGTAGGTACGAGGGTCCTAGGCCGTGAAGGGCTTTAAAGGTCAAAACCAGCACCTTAAATCTGACCCTGTACTCCACCGGGAGCCAGTCCGGCTGGAAAAGCACTGGGTGAATATGCTCCCATGGCAGAGACTCGCTGCTGCATTCTGCACCCGCTGGAGTTTCTGGGACAGCTTCAAGGGCAGCCCCGTGTAGAGCGAATTACAGTAGTCAAGCCTGGAGATGACCGTCACATGGATCACTGTGGCCAGGTCGGGGCGGGAAAGGTAAGGGACAAGAAGGATTCAAGCTTTGAGTAACAACAAGGCCTGGTTCTTTTTTCAGATGAGAAACCCGTGTCTCATCCGTGCTGCTTTAGAGCAGGAGTGGAAAATCGCAGGACTGACTCTTCCTCCGCACGACCTTCCACAGCGGCAGAAACTAGCGCCACTGGAAGAAGGCTAAGCGAGAAATCCTTCTCCTTGATGTGTCGTTTGCGGGGTGGAGAATTCTTATCAACCATGTCAGAAATGGCAAAGCCAGACAGGTGGGCAACCTCAGCGAGAACCATGTCAAAACCCTGCTCTCCACCCTCTCAAGAGCTGCAAGAGAGCCAATCCACTGAGGGAAGGCCAGCTCTCTGCTACCCAGAAGCCAGTTCACCAACAAGGTACGTACCTTTCACATCTCCGTGGAGAATGCTGTGAGCATGAAGGTACTCCAGGCCTTCCAGCGCTTGGCCTAGATAATCAAGAGCTCGGTCCTCCGGCAGGTAACCGCGTTGCTTCAGGAGCTGGCCAAGGGACCCACCTGCAAGGAAGAATTGCTGTTATTTTATTTATTCCCTCTGTATCCCACTTTTCCCTCTAAAAAGTGGCGCACTGTCAGGCTTCAGGGAATCCAATCCTCTCCCCCACAGCAGGCTGCCGGTAATAGTCAAGAAGCTCTTACCAAGTCTTTTATTCAATATTCACATAGAGAGGCTTAGAAATGCTCCCTCTAGGAGTAATGGTGTTGCTCTGAGTGGAAACCCACCCTCCATCTCTCTCATTATACGTCATCCCTATGATGGCTGATCTGTGCTTTCTGCCTCTGAGCTCTCTGCTCTCCTACTTTCAATGCCCACCGGGTTCTGGGAGAAGGGGGGTCTGGAATGCTTTCTAAAGATACTGAGTCCGTCAGCTGTCACGCCACCCCCCTGCTGCTACTGCGGCTTCCTGCTCCTCTCTCATTATTTCCCAGCTTTTCCCCTCGTGTGCCTCTGAGTTATGACCTCCCGCAAACCAATGTTGTAAATCTATACTGTCCTCCCCTTCTCTGGAAGGGCCAGGATGGGGAGGCGGTTCCCACCATTCCTCCTCTGTCCAGTCCCTGACACGCGCATAGTCATAGTGGAACTCGCCAGATGAAACTTAACCATGCTTAGCCGCTCTGCTGGTCCCCCAAATTATTTCCATGCCAGGTCTCATTACAATGGTACCTCGGGTTAAGAACTTAATTCGTTCTGGAGGTCCATTCTTAACCTGAAACTGTTCTTAACCTGAAGCACCACTTTAGCTAATGGGGCCTCCTGCTGCAGCTGCGCCACCAGAGCACGATTTCTGTTCTCATCCTGAAGCAAAGTTCTTAACCTGAAGCACTATTTCTGGGTTAGCGGAGTCTGTAACCTGAAGCGTATGTAACCTGAGGTACCACTGTACTTTGCCCGTGCAGTAAGCTGCAAATTGCTGCTGTTGCTGCTCACACAGGGCTCCATTTCTCTTGTCCTTGAACACCTACCTTCCATTAGCTTCATGAAGAGAGTAATCCACAGGCCCTCCTTCACCGCTCCGTATAACGGGAGGACTTTGGCATGCACCCCTCCAGTGCATGCCATCAGCTCCTCTGCACGGAAGTTTTCGACCCGCACCTGGATTGAAGAGAGCAAGATGGCAGGAGGGTTCACTCTATGTTCAGTGGTACCTTGCTTCCAGAAGGGCTTGGTACTCAAACAAATTGGCTCCCGAACACTGCAAACCCAGAAGTGATATGGTTTGCACACGTTTTCAGAAGCTGAACGTCCGACACAGCTTCCGCTTGAGTGCAGGAAGCTCCTGCAGCCAATTGGAAGCCACACCTTGGTTTTTGAACCGTTTTGGGAGTCGAATGGACTCCCAGAATGGATTACGTTCGAGAGCCAAGGTACCACTTTAATTAGAAAACAACGGTGTCTACCTCTGGGGGTGGAGAGCTGGAAACAGAAGGCTTACTTAGGTCTAAAAGTGTGTGTGTTGTGGGTGGAGATGGCCGACAAGTTAGTTAAGGGAGAGTCAGGTTGGCAGAAGGAAGCAGGCCGCAGGTGACAAGGGCCTGAAATGCGGAACTTGAGGAAACAGCTGCCAGAGGAGGCCTGGAGACAGGGAAAGGAGGAGCCGAGATGACAGAGGGGTTCATGAAAACCATAAGGCAAAGGTAAAGGTAAAGGTAAAGGTCCCCGGGATGGTTAAGTCCAGTCAAAGGTGACTATGGGGTGCAGCGCTCATCTTGCTTTGTCCACAGACAGCTTTCTGGGTCATGTGGCCAACATGACTAAACCACTTCTGGTGCAACAGGACACAGCGACAGAAGCCAGAGCACACGGAAATGCCATTTACGTTCCCGCCGCAGTGGTAACTATTTATCTACTTGCACTGCCATGCTTTCAAACTGCTAGGTTGGCAGGAGCTGGGACCGAGCAACGGGAGCTCACCCCGCCGTGGAGATTCAAACCGTCATCCTTCTGATTGTCAAGCCCAAGAGGCTCAGTGGTTTAGACCACAGCACCACCCATGTCCATAAAGAGAGCCCAGGGAAAGAAAGGGCTGTGAGCATTGACCATGAGAGCGCAGGGTGGCTGTGGCGGCGGCAGAGCTAAAGTCCACCGACTGATGTGCCCCAGCCCACCAGACTGTTGTTGCAGGGATGTAGCAAATAATAAACTCTCTGAGCCACAAAAATGGCAAGCAAGGAGGAATCTACAGGGGAGTCTCATGGCACATGTTGAGGCAGTATCGGGTTACTTTTTTCCCTTCAACACAAGCGTTCAAAATGTAGCCTGGTTGTGTGTGGGGTTTTTTTAAGCAACTGCAGCTAAGGCCAAGAGTAGAGCTAAAGAGAAAGCAGATGGTATATCGTCTGGCCAAGTGCAGAGCTTGCTGAAGATAAGGAGGAAAATATGAGTCACTGGCGTGTTTGGCTGCTGAACGATAGCCGAAGTGGGTTTAGATCAGAACATGAGACTGCGGGGAAGGAGGAGGAGGAGAGTTCAGAATGGGGAGGGATATATCGAGTAAGGAGGAGGCACATAATCGGAGACTTCAGCCTACTGGAAGTGCCTCCAAATATAGGCACACCAGGGAAATACAGCTCTGTCACCCGAGCTCCCCAGCCGGGCTTCTCTGGATCACTGTTAACAGCAGTGATCACGATGTGAAGATGAACGAAGCAGTTCTGTGGCTGGAGCTGAATAGCCTGGGGTCTGGAGAGTATCTCCATGGGAGATCACCCGAGAAGCACGTGCATTGTGGAAAGGACAGGAGACAAATAGGTCGGCTAAGCTACACCAGAAAGGGACGCGGGTGGTGCTGCGGGTTAAAGCCTCAGCGCCTAGGACTTGCCGATCGAAAGGTCGGCGGTTCGAATCCCCGCGGCGGGGTGCACTCCCATCACTCGGTCCCAGCGCCTGCCAACCTAGCAGTTCGAAAGCACCTTCGGGTGCAAGTAGATAAATAGGGACCGCTTACTAGCGGGAAGGTAAACGGCGTTCCGTGTGCTGCGCTGGCTCGCCAGAAGCAGCTTCGTCACGCTGGCCACGTGACCTGGAAGTGTCTGCGGACAGCGCTGGCTCCCGGCCTATAGAGTGAGATGAGCGCACAACCCTAGAGTCTGTCAAGACTGGCCCGTACGGGCAGGGGTACCTTTACCTTTTACCTTTAAGCTACACCAGTATCATATGAGGGCTGTACAATCAAATTGCTGCAAGAATTCCCCTACAAATCACCACCACTGCCCTCCCTGCAACCCCAATGGGTCAGTGCGTCTGGCTGCTAACCGAAAGGTTGGCAGTTCGAGCCCACCCAGGGACATCTATGGCAGGTTTCCTGCAATGCAGGAGATTGGACTAGGTGGCCCCCGGGCTCCCTTCCAACCCTATGATTCTGTGAACACTGTGCAGGAAAATTACAGCTTCAATTGTCAGATTAAAGAATTCTCTAAAAACAGAAGAGACTGTTTATATATGCGACAATAGCTGCGTGGATGTTACTAGCTCAGAGATGGAAAGAAGATAAAAGTCCCTGTTGGAGAAGAATGGCAGACTAAGTTGATGGACTCTGCCGAAATGGCAAAAATGACCAGAAAAATCAGAAATCAGGAAGACCAAAACTTTAATAAAGAATGGGGGAAACTTTTAACTTACCCTGGAGAACACTGTAAACAGTTAAAATCATTAGTGGGATTGCAATAACACTTGTAATGTAATGAGAACTATGGATGATATAAAGATATAAAAATTGGGATTATTTTTAAAAAGATGCAGTAGAAAAGGTTCAATAATGGGACCCATGGAGGGGAGGAGGGAAGTCCAGGGATTTGTGGGAATCCCAGTCAATGTAAGGTAAGAATGTAAATTTTAATATGTAAAACCAAAAAAAGCAAACTTGTCGGCAGGGGCGGGGGGAGAGAGAATTCTCTGCTGCTGCTATTTAGCACTTCTGTCGTTTAAAATATTGTCTCTGCCACCAGTTGCTCTCAAGAGAAATCAAGGCTATCAGTTTGGACTTTGTGCAAGAGCAACCCTCCCCACATAGCTTGCTGCACCCAACACCCACGCACGGCAGGAGATTCCACCGCCCGGTGTCTCCAGGGCAACGCCTTCCGCCTTGACCTTGAGATCAGCCACAAACAAGTTGCAGCAAAGCGACTGCTCCAGCCCCAGCCCTCAGCAGCTCCAGCAGAAAGGAAAGGAGCTTTCAGTTCCCCTTTTGATTTCGCTTTCCCTTGCCTCGGGCAGAACTGGGTTCGGGGCATTTGCATACCTTTTTGGCAGCACACTGAAAGCCCGTCTGCTTGTCCTCCATTTTGTACACTTCACCAAAAGATCCTGTGCCAAGCAAGCCTGGACATTTGGTCCAGTGGACGCCTTCGCGATACTCATAATCCACGGCTTTCAGTTTCTGAGGGATGGCAAGAGCAGTATGATAAGGAACAGGGGTCAAGGAAAGGGGGAAGAACTGCCAACGGCAGTGACAGGAGTACAGGGATACAGCCACTTCTGAGCCAGCCTGTTTAGCTAAAGTCATTTAACCCAAGAAACTGCCCAAACGTCTACAGGTTTTCCCTCTTCCACCAGAAGTTCTGGAGCAGTGGTTCTCAAACTCTTTTTTCCGGGCCACACTTTCAGGATAAAAATTTGCTCGTGCCACACCAACTTTTTCATTGACAAGAAATACATTGGTAAACAAAAGGAAACAACTCCAAGCAGTGCTTAATCCACAGCACAGAACATAACTACTTTATAATATGATAATGGGACCTCTTTTATGCAGCTACCTAAGACTATGGGTCATTCCAAAAATGTAGTTATAAACAAGCCTCTTACATACAGGCTCAATGAGAGGTTTAAGCTTGCTTTTGCTGGCTAATCTCATTTATGTTAGGTCTTATCTGAGACAAACAAACTCTCATCTTCTCACCAACACAAATAAGCGTTTTCTTTTTTTATGATGAGTTGAAAATCCCTGTTCACACCAATATGTTATGGAGAACGGTAGAATAGCCAATGCTCTCAAAGAAAGCTGTGAATACTGTTTCCGGTTGTCCCTGAATCTTCCTGCCACACCAGCATGGCGCGTCACACCCTTCTGGAGGCTCAACACCCCCCACCCCCCGCAAAATGCAGTACCTTAAAACCACTCTTGAGGAGCCCTGCTTCCAAAGTATTTTGAGATGTCTGCTATCTGTCCCTAAGCTTGCCCATTGAATGCAGGAGAAGGATTGTTCCAATGCTGTGTATTCATGCCATGTGATCACTTTCCTTCCCCCATAGCTCAGCTGGTTGGAGCGTAGTGCTGATAATGCCAAGGTTGCAGGTTTGAGCCCCATATAGGACAGCTGCATATACCTGCCTTGCAGGGGGTTGGACTAGAATCAGCCTTTCTCAACCTGTGGGTCCCCAGATGTTGTTTAACTACAACTCCCATCACCCCTGGCTAGCAAGGCCAGAGCTCAGGGATGATGGGAGTTGTAGTCCAACAACATCTGGGGACCCACAGGTTGAGAACCACTGGACTAGATGATCCTCAAAGTCCCTTCCAACTCTATGATTTTGTTGAACACTGATTTTATACATATGAAATAAACCAGAGGAGCAAGTCCCCTTTGGGCTGGTTTGTGGATGACAAATGCACAGAATATGCACTGCTAAAAACCAAAGACCTTCTAGCTCAATCGCTGAATAGATGCACAGCAGAACCATACCTTTCAGAAAGCAACACAGGTCTTCAAAAAATGAAGCAGAGACCACACCTTCAACTGGGGAAAATAAATATCCAGCTCCCTTCTAGCTACGAAAAGGATCTTGCTCAAATTGTTTGCAATGACAGATTCCTGCAGTTTATACCACCACCACCACACACACGGAAAGATTTCCGAACTTTTCTGAGTAACTGTTCCCACTAACTTTCCTTTAAAAATTAAAAGTGCTTTAAAGCACGTAAAGAATACTGCATGACCAGGTAAGACCAAAAGGTCCATCTAGGGCATCATCCAGCTTCTAACAGCCAGGTAATCTTGGGAACCCTACAAACAAGGCCCAGAGGCAATGCCATCCCCAGTGATGTTCCTGTTAGCAAGTGTTATTCAGGCATACACTGCATTGTTTAAATCCTAAAATCACACAGCTGTGAATTAGACTAATTCTTTTGGAAACTATTTAACCAAGTGGCCATCTCCACATCATGCATTAATGAATTCTAGAAGCCCACTGTGTGTTCCATGAATACTTCATTTTGTCCATCCCAAATCTAGCACCAACCAATTTCACTGAGCAACTCAGGGGTGCATTGTTATTACTGAGGGCCAAACAAAGTTCTCTCTCCACACCAGTCACAATTCCAAACTCTTGTATCACTCTCTGAATTCAGCTATCTTTCCCCCCCTTTTCTTTTTCAATCTATAAAGCCTCAAATGCTTCGATTTCCCCTCATAGGAAACATTCTCTTCTGTGGGCATACCCAAGTTAGATGGGTCACCCAAAGTGGCAGCTCTTCCCCAATCCTACATCATGTAGACTTTGTGGGTGGATGCAGGACATCAGAACACTTCTGGTCTCTGCCCATGTGATGCTATCTTGCCCTGTGTGGTTGATGGTTCTTGCCTGAGTATCTCCCCTGAAGCACAGATTGGGAGAGGGGCTACAAGCAAACCTCTCATATCCAGGCTTCCACTCCAGCCCTTTTCTGCCTTACACACTTCAGTTTTTACTTAATTATCTGTGAGCAATAGGCAATTCCCCCCGCCCAGGCTGATCCCAAAAGACATCCTTCATCCCCATTGTCAAACTTCTGCAGGGGTCCTTCAAGGGTGAGCATCTCCTACTGTTCCCATTGGAGTATTTATCCACTTTTACCCCAACAAGTAAGATCAGGAGCATGCAATGATACCCCACAGTCCTTTCCCTCTGCTTTTCTAGACAGCAAACAGTTAATTTTCTTCAGAGCTGCCAGAAGAGGCACCTACTCTGACAGCGTTCACGCATGAACAAAACAGCTAAAGGGCTGGAGTACTCTTGAAAGCAAAGTCCCTGTCCTCCTCACTTAACTCCTATCTCAGTGAAGAGCTTTAATATCACGTTAAAAAGAAGTCTCGTCTACTGAAAAAAATATATCACGTACTGGAGCCCTTTCTAAGCTATCCCACTTGAAACAGCATGTGAGGAAATCACCACTCATCAAAACCTCCCTGCATGTGGTGATCTAGCACGTCAGGACAAAAGGCAGTAGCCTCATTTTTTCCCTCTTAGGCCTGACAGTTTGCCACGCTGGGTTTGTTTTTGTGATGTCCTCCACACAAGGGAGCCCTCAAGCAAGCAAGCCCTCACTTGCAGCCTCGAGTGATACATTCCAAGGAGGCTGTAACACAAAATATTTCCAAACGTGTATTAGTCCTCCTCAGAGTAGGCCCAATGAAATTAATCAGCCCAAGTTAGTCATGCCCATTAACCCCAATGGGTCTACTGTGAGCAGGACCAGTGCTGAATAATAATAATAATAATAATAATAATAATAAATTTATTACTTATACCCCACCCATCTGGCTGGGCCTCCCCAGTCACCCAAACAGCACCCAAACTCTGGTTCTGAAGTTTAAACAAGGTCCCAGGTGATGGGCAGCTCTGGTCCCTTGCTTCCCATAACATGGTGGAATCTACCTTGAGGAAGATGCCATTGTCACCCCTAGCGTCAGCTTTTGTGAAGGCTCACCTCTATAAGCAGCACCCCTTCATTTTCATCCATCCCCTTTGGACTCAATCCACCTCCTTTCCAGGTCTTGGCTAAACAAGCTAGGTTTCTTGGTTCTCCGAGGATTACACTTCCCTTCAAGGCATCCACCAGAAATTCTTCCATGGACAGCTTGTCTGAGATGCTTTCTGCAGGCTGGTGGCTACATTTGGAGAAGCTCCGCTCCAAGCTCAGGCCTGGGAGGCGTTGCTCACCATCCACACAGGAAAGGTCATCAAAGAGATGGGTCCTCAGAGGATTGAGTTTCAAGGGAGGAAAGAGGTCACTGTAGCCACAGAAATCAAGGGGGAACTTCCGATAAGGGAAGGGGTGTGGAGTCTCTGACTGAGGGGTAAAAATGTCTTGTGTGTGGGCCTTCCAGACATGGCTCAGGCACTGAGCAGGGCTGATCAGCTTGTGTAATTCTAGCTTTCCTCGGTTCTTCAGCAAGTCCAACTTGCCAGCAGGTAGGGCTTGTTTGGGCTTCTCCAAGGTGCTGAGATCACAGGCCAAATCCTTGCATGACTTTGAAAGCCAGGAAGCACTACTGAAGAGGGTGTCCGAGGGCGAGTCATCCTCCTGGAAGTAAAGGGGGAAAGAGTTACGTCAAGCAGGGAATGATTCTCTCAGCAGGGGCTGCTCCCAAAATGCAAGCCTCACTGACGGGGTCTGGGGAAAAAAATATTTCAAATGTTTAGGTGCCAGGCCAAAAATGCATTTCAAAACTCTTTGGGGCCAGATTCCGGGTTTAACGGAAGGTATCAGCAAACCAGTTGCCTGGGATTTCACTTGTTCTTACTCCCAAGAAAGTCCTATACCTGGGCATGATGGAAGAAAACCTAGAAAAGGCCTTACCTGCACTGGAATTGGAGTGCAGCTCTCCTGCTCTGGGGTTCTTGGCTTGTGAGGTGGGGAGGTCAGCTCCTTGTGTGTCAGAAGATGGGATCTTTTCTTTCGCCGTTTCTTCCGGGACTTGCCACGATGCATGGCTTTCCTGTAGGCTGGGGCGATTTTGCCCTCAGTTGCATAGGCCACATTGTTGGGGATCTGATCGAGGCTACAAGACCGGCTGGCACAGAGAAGGGTATTGCAAAGGTATTTTAGTTTAAAAGTGGCAGCGACGGAACATGGCCTTTTCTAGCTGAATTGAAAACTAAGAAGTATAAAAGGAGAAGTTAGAAGAACCTCTAGATCCTAAGAACAACGAAGCTTCTTGGCCACAAAATGGAATTCCATTTTGTACAACGCCTGGCAATGGATTATACAAGACACTGCATTAACAAACAAACAAAAATAGTGCGACAAACACTAATTTTAATTTATGTGACCTAAGTCCATTTCTTAAAATGTATATTTTGCATGGTCAAAGTACAAAATACACCTCTCTCCTTTTCACCAATGTTTTGGGGGTTAAAGGTGTTAGTCTACTGGGAGTGAGGGAGCTGCAATGCTGAAAGAACTGCCCTTATTCTGAATTGGCCTTGTTTGACCTCAGAGGTGTAGTCATGTTTACCATGTGATCTCTGATTGGCTAGGATCGTTCTGGGAAGGAGAAGCAGCCCTAAAAAGCAGTGGGAAGGGAGACCGTGGCTTCACAACAGCCATCAACAACTATGGAAAAGCGACAAAAAATGGATTTTTTTGGTAGGAGACATTTTACCCTTTGTACAAATATGCAATTATTTCTTACACACATACCCCCCACCCAATGGATGACTGTTCAGCTAAACCTCATGTACTTTGTGCTTTTATCAGAAATCAGGTACAAAATAATACACAATAACTTGGATGTTCCCCCACTCTGCAGCTTCCTATCCTTTCTATTACTTAAAGCATTCAAAGTCATTGGCATGTGCCTCATTCATACCTCACACTATTCCAAACCACAGCTTAGTGTGTGATTCCCCAGGTACTGTGCTGCCCTGCTGTGCTCAGCTAAGCCACAGCTTGGGCTTGGCATGTCGTCTGGGAGCAAACCTTGGTTACAGCTTGTGATTAATCTAGAGAGAGCTGAGCCACAAGGCCAGGTTCAAAGGACATGCTAAGCCAAGCCATGGTTAAGTTCAGCATGGTGCAGCAAAAATGACGGCAGGAAAAAAGGAGCCATGTTCTCCATGCAAGCCTGCATAAAACACACGAAGCCATTGTTTGGCTCAGCATCACATGAGAACTAGGCCTCATATATAATAAACTCCATTGTGAATATTGGGTATTCAAAGCAAATCCTGTTCCTAGGATACAGGGTTAAGATGGAGTAGAAGATGCATTCTAGAATCAAAGTTCCCGCCCCGCAATGCAATTGAGATTTGTGGCTCTTTCTGCACACTGTGTGTTATAGGGGAGACCTTACCTGAATCGTTTGGTGTCAGCAAGAAAAGGCCTCTCAGAATACGTAGGGCTGAACTCCTGGCTAATCTCACCTGCAGGGAAAGCAAACAAGGCCAATACAAGCCAGGGTGAGGCAGGAAATGCCAGAGTCATACCATCTTCTGGAAATCAGCTTTGCTGTAGCAAAGGAGGATGTCAAAACTTAACTCCCAAAAGAGCCACGAGATCACCAAGAGGGACTGTGAGTATTCTGTTTGGGGAGATGTGGGGAGGAATCACAATTCTGGATGAAAAAATATGCAAACCAGAATCCAAATAACTGCATATTTGGTCTCAATGTCCATGGAAGTTTAGGATTTGTGTCTGGGGAGGGAGGGACATGCTTCGCAAGCGGCTTCAAAATTTGGAGAGTGTTTCAGGAGCAGTTTACAATACAGCATAGGAGAGGACGGCTCAGTGGAAAAAAGGCTCCTGGGCATGGATAAAGTAGCCCTGTTTTAACACTTCGATTTCTCTTGTGCCTCATAATTGTTGATCTTTCCTACGGTATTCTAACTAAACCACTTGTATTTCCCAGAATTCGATCACCAGAAGAGTTACATATGTTTGGTTTCTTTTATTTACTATTGCATAAAATGTTATTCTGACATACCAGCTCCTTATACCTCAGCAGTTGGGATCCTCCTGCAATGGCTGGGGAGTGAAGCAACAGCAATCATGGGGTATGTCGGCTGAACAAGTTTCCCATTAGTTGGGCTGATGGGGCTGCAGGTCTGCTAGAGGGCTTTGATGCAGAAAGCTACAGCTACAGCTTCACCCCCAGCCACAATCCAATTTTAGCCCCCCATCCACTCAGCGTTGCAGCTCCCCACTTACATTCTGCCTGGGCTATGATGGAGATGGAGGCTAAGCTCCCTTTCCCACTGTCTTCCTTGGCAGTTCCTTTGGCAATCACGTCGCTCAGAATCTTCCACGGTCCCTGGAACACATTTTTCTCTGGATCCTCTACTTTGCAAACGCTGCTCTTTTTCTCAGTCACCACCTCCTTCGGTCCCTTATCCGTAGGAAGCTCCTTTGGGTGCCCAACAGTAACTGGAGCGTCTTGGCAAGCTATTTCCATTACAGCCATCTCCTCCTTTTGCTAGAAGGCTGGAAGATAAATCCCACAAAAAAGAACAAGCATTAGAACAGATGCCCTCTCTTCATAGAACCATAGTACTATGGGGTAAGAAGGGACCCTTGAGAACATCTAGGGCAACCCCCTAAATGCAGGAATCTCAACACACAGTCCAGAATGTACAGACCACACACTATTGAGTTCTCCTTCCCTCTCACAAGCACACTGAGGATGTCTGATAACAGGGAGCATTCACTAGCGGGGGAAATGCGCAAGGTGGTCCCATGACACACATGCAGACTACAGACCTCTCTCTCTCACTTGCTCATAATTCACATGTCCCTCTCAAGCAAACCACACATGCACACAGGCCACACATTCCTATCTTGCCCCCCCCCCCAACAAACACCAGCTATAATACATATCTCTCTCAAGTGCATCTCACATATGATGGGTGCCTGCAGGAAACTGGGGGGGGGGGGGCGGGGGCGGGTCAGGGTAAGTAAAACACAGAAAGGGTGGAATGGGCTAGTTTCTCGCCAAAAACCCCCCCGAGAAGGATCGTGCCTGTATGTTTTGCCTCGTATCTCAGGTTCTAACTACCACTACTACTATTTCATCTTTATTCATTATATGCCACACATCTGACTGGGTTGCCCCAGCCCCTCTGGAAGGCTCCCAACAAAGTACTGTACAGTGGTGCCCCGCAAGACGAATGCCTCGCAAGACGGAAAACCCGCTAGACGAAAGGGTTTTCCGTTTTGGAGGTGCTTCGCAAAACGAATTTCCTATGTGCTTGCTTCGCAAGACGAAAATGTCTTGCGAGTTCCTGCGGGGGTTTTTTCCTCCCCCCCCTTTTTCCCAAGCCGCTAAACCGCTTATCAACTGATGGCTAAGCCGCTTACCAGCTGATCGCTAAGCCGCTTACCAGCTGATCGTTAAGCGCTTATCAGCTGATCTTTAAGCCACTTAACAGCTGATCGCTAAGCTGCTTATCACCTGATCCGCTAAGCCCGCTAATACTGTAGCGCTAATCCGCTAAACCGCTAATGGGCTTGCTTCGCAAGACGAAAAAACCCGCAAGACGAAGAGACTCGCGGAACGGATTATTTTCGTCTTGCGAGGCACCACTGTATTAAACACACAATAGAACCTCAAAGATTAAAAACTTCCCTGCAAATGCTAGAAACTTGCTTAAAACCAAAATGGGGAAACTGAGGGTTATGGTACATGCTGGGGGCAGCAAAGGCGGCTTTCACAGGCACTATGGTGCCCGTGGGCATGGGATTGGCGATTCCTGTTGAACAGGATGCTTTGGGCAGTGGATACAAGGCGGCTGTTCCTTCCTGTTCTGGGTGGTGAGAGGGAAGGATAGATAGACACATTCTCCCTTTCCTTCCCCCACCTCCATTTTCCTTGCTGTGTTGCATCACATTAGAAGGTTCAGGTCTGGGCTGGTTGCCAGTCCTGACTGAGAGCATTATATTGCTATTTAGCGTGGGCGGGTGGGTAGGGGAAGACTCTGGGGAATAAGAAACCGGGAAAGGCATTCAGGGAAGTGGGGACAGTTCTCCTATAGCATGTGAAGAGGAGCTTTTAAAAATCTCGTGGCACATTCCTCCTCCAAACTTCGCTTTCAGGGCATGCATTTTTAGGGAGGCCAGTTGTCTCCACCCTCCCACCCCCGGTCTTCCATCTTCTCAAATGATGCCCTAATACTCCATGACTCAAATGCTCTCAACCTGACCTTCCATCTCTCTCCCCACCCCCACCCCCTTTCTGTCCTTCAACATTCAGTGTTTGAACGAATTTAGACCTATGGACTAAATTGGAAAGCTTACACAGTCCGCCATATGTCTGGTTCCTTTCAGACCCCTCCAAACCCCCGGCCAACAGTGCAAACATGAGAACATAGTGGAGAAATAACGCAAGGATTTTAATGCAGCTGTGATTGGGCATCAGTGATGGGTCATCTTCCCCACAAACGAGGGGGAAAGTGAGGCTTGTCACCAAATACTGATGGGCATTTTGAGCTATGTCTTGCGTGAAGTGTTTTGGTGCAGAGATAACATTAAGGTTTTTTTATATTCCATATTTGGTAGCTTTCAATGGCATACAGCTCTGAGCTTTGGACTAAGTGAGCAGACTCTCCGTGACAGGGAAAGGAACTGCGGGGCACACTGCTCTCTTAGCCGCAACTGCAGCTGTATCAAACCGATCCGGCACCCGGCCTCCTGACAGCAGAGAATCCTTTCCCTGTTTCGCAAGGCTTTTTCATGGCAAGGTGCCTGCCAGTTTTCCGCCTCTCCTTTGAGCTTCACGCTAGCAAAGGGCACTTCCCTGTCTTTCTGATGAGCCAGAAGCAGAATGGGGAACCTCCGGACACTGCACCCAACTGGAGTGCGTCTTGCGAGAGACGGTGTCCTGTCTCTAGTTTGCAAGCCTTGTCCAGGCTGGGCACCCGTCTCCCACCACTTCCTGGCACAGGCAGGTTTCCAGACAGGCAGAGGTGGTGTCGGCTGGCTGGGGAGGGTGTGGCAGAGGCTCAATGCAGGGCTGCACACACATTTTCTCTCTTTTTTTATATAAGATATTTATTGAAATTTTCAAAGTATTACAAAATAAAATAAAAGCAGTAGAAAGTACAAAATAAAAATAGTTAACAAAGTAGAAAAAGAAGGGGGGGGAAACAAACCCCTTCCAACCATATGAATACAAATTCAAAAATAAGAAAAAGTGACAAAAGAAAAAATATAAAAATACATCACAAACAATTAAAAACATTTAAAAACAAATTCATTATTCTCAAATCCTCAACTGTCATTACCTTCTTTCTTTGACCTCCTCCTCCTCCCTTTCTTTGTATCCTAGTTATTAATTATCCCAGCAAATCCTTTCCATATTTCATAATATTCTGTCATTACATTACCCTAAACTGTTTTAATCTTATCTTACTATAATAAAATAAACCTTAAAACTTAAAACTTAAATCTTATCCTTACCCATTTCTCATAACCAAAATATTCTTTCATAATTCTTTAAACATCTTTACTAAAGCCAAGTAATTTCATTCCAACATTTTTCTGACATTCATCAATTTTATAAAACAGTTCTAATGGTAGAAAAAAGAGATACAAACAGATCCAATCTTCATCCAACGTCCTTTCCTCCTGGTTCCGGGTTTTGTCAGTCCTTATTATCCCGTCGATCTAGCCCATTAACCTGGCAGCCTTATATCCGAGGCCCTCAAGTCTCTTCCATGTCCCTTCCGCAGCTCTTCTTCATATTTGTAACTGTATTTTCCCTTGTCTCCTGCTCGTGGTAACTCCAGCTTGACAATATTTTTAACCCTTCTCGACAGATCAGCCCCTTTTCCATATTCAACACTGAATTCCATATGGTATTTAAAAGCATGTTTCAAAGACCCTCCAAAATTAAAATTAAGAGCCCCCACAATCCCAAACATCTCACGGCCCATTGCCAGATTTGAAAAGTCCAAACATCCCAACATAGGGGGGTCAATCCAGCCCCCCATTTCCAAGCCAAACCAAACTTTTTCTTTCCAAATCTGGCTTTTTCCAGGTTCATTTGTCAAATCCGAAAACTCATATTCCTGTTGGGCCTGTTCTGTCAGGACACACTCCTGATTTAATTCCTGAGTGGGCTCCACATATTTTCCCACTGTTCAAAATTTCCCACTGCCTGTTCAAAGTTTCTAGTCGAAGTCGCCATCCAATTCACCTTCTCATGTAACTGTTCCAGTAGGGCATTTGTTTTATAGAAAGCACACAACAAAGCTTCTGAATACATTGTCCTGCAAGGTCAGATGCCTGTTCCCACGATTGTAATCTGTAACAGCTGCCGGCTCCCTGGAGTTGGTTACAGTTTCACAGTCTCCCTCTAGGGGGAAAACTTCTATTTGTTCTTGCAACAAAGTTTCCCTTTTTGAGATACTTTGTCAATATTTGTTGCTTAAAGATGCGAAGGGAAGCAGTGGAATCGCTATGTTTCTCTTCTTTTAGCTATCTGTCAAAAACGCTTGTCTCTGGTCAATGAACTTCAAACGTCAGTCCTGACACCCCGCTCCAGGATCAGGACGGAGGAAGGTTACTTTACTTTAAACTCACTTTAAACAGTCCGAAAAAATCCCCTCCTTCTCCTGCTGTCGAAGGGGGGTTCCACAATTTTAAATGATGAAATCCAATCCTTTAAAGGCGATTTTCTAAGCTCTAGTTTACATTGTCTTTGCTTTATTCTGTCTACAAAAGAACGGAAGGCTGACTTCCTGTTTAGACCTTCCCGTTCCGTACCAAATTAAAATAGGTTTTTAAAATCCAATTCCTTTCTGCTCGCAAGTCCTTATTTGATGTCCAGTTATTCAAAGTCTGAGTACTCACGGGTGCTTATTTTAGAGTCCAAATTGTCCCAGGAAAAAGGCAGCGCTCTCCGGCAACGGCTATGCGGCTTCGCTCCACGGAAATAGCAGTTGACTCACAGCACCGCGCCACAAACCCCTCTTCACTTCGGAGCCTGTTAGTGGGTTCCTTAGCGAGTTGGGGGGACGCTAAAGGTGCCCGCCGAGTCCCATGGTCACAGGCTTCATCCGCCTGTGATTTTTAAGAGGGTCCCCGCTTCGCCGTAGCGGAGAAGACCCGTTTCCCGCGGAGCTAGTCCCTCCTGTTCAGAGGGAGTCCGCCATTGCTGATGGCGCCACCCCGGAAGTCCTGCACACACATTTTCTCAGTGCTCCTTCCTCCTGACCACATACACAGTACATCCTTTTTTCTGTTTTTAGGAAGTCTGTCCTCTTTAGGCAGTTGTTGTTTTTTTTAAATGCACTTCTGCAAACCTTGGGGTTCCCTCAAACAAGGAAGATACCTCTGTTTTTTCACTGGCCCTATTTTGGCTACAAAGCTGTTATTGGGGGAGCGGTTTAGTCCCGTATTGTTTATTCTTATTTAAACAGTTTATATATCCCTTAACTCCCAAGGTTAATAAGTGGTTTATAAAGACGCAGTGCAAAAAAAAGAAGAAAAAAAAAAGGAAGAAGTCAAAACTATAAAATCTCCATTAAGGTGCCTGATGGATGTTTGGTAGGGAGGGGGACTGTCTGACTTCAATCGGAAGGGAGTTCCATAAAATTGTGTCCTCAATACTAAACTCACCCCCAAAAACATTGGTGATCAGGCAGGGATGTAAGAGATTGGGCAGGCCTTGCAGTATCCTGAACCCAAATTGTAAAGGGCCTTGAAAATTAATACAAGCACCTTGAACCTGGCCTGGTAGCATATAGATTTTTGTTGTTGTATGTGGGGTGTTGTTGTTTTTTAGTCTCTATAAAATTTATTTAATTTTCAGATTTTGAAATTTACAAAAATGGTCCTGGATACAATGATGGTCTATGGGATCAAAAGCCACAGAGAAAATGACAAGCAGAGTCAAACTCCAGCCACAATCCTGCCCTTGCCTTTACCTGACCGTCAATGCTTACCTTTCCACAGACTTCTTACGATTATTGTTTAGTAGACCATTTTAAACCTGCCTTTTAACTTCAAAAAATGCCCAAGGAAGTTCACAATATAAATGAAATTAAAAATAAGAGCAGCAGTAAAATAATTTTAATTTTTTAAGAAATCCGCAGATAAAAACAAATTCAGATTAAAATGATGGGACAAAATGCTCCACACAATGGGGAAAGTATCATATGCTTGCCAGAAAAAGAAGTCTTTACACCTAGGCACCTTTCCACCTGTGACCAACACCCTTGGCCCTGCTGAACTTGCTGCTTCAAGGTCACAGCTCACCTTGATTGTTCTCTCTTCTACCTCCCAAGGCTGCTTCTTGGCTTTGCACCAAGTGACAGCCTCTGTCTGAGAGTCTGCTTCTGCTGCCATCTCTGTTCCTGCAATGAACGCCCACGGCCCATTTCCCAACACTGATAATGCACTTTGGGCAGGATCTCCTCCCATGTTCTAGTTGTAAAGCTACCAGGTATGAATGGGGAGTCAGCTCGGCCTTTTTTCCGCTGAAGCTTGCCTCAAGTGTTTCCAAGTGCACTTCGTGCAAGGATTCCCTTCTGTGTTTTGAGAAGGGAGAAGTTAGGCCTCAAAAGTGAAACCAAGTCATCTGATTGCCATATACAGTAGTTGCAGGGGGAAGCAGCGAGGTTCTCACAAATCACCACTTCATTTTAGTAAGGCCTCAAGCCTCATCTTCCTGAAAGAGAACAGGAAGCAAAGGCCCTCCTTGTTTAAATAATATTTAGCTGCCCTTCCTGAACTTATTCAGGAAGATACAACGAACAATAGGGCGCTGTTTCGGGGGTGACCTTATCTGCAGCAGGGAAGAAAGGCTGCTTCCTCTCTGCGAGATGCTTTTTACCCAAAATCGAAAGTCATTGTTCCTTGTCCCAAGGTAACCCCTGCCTACCCAAACAAGGAATCCTAGGGTGCCTGAGCTACATATTCCTGTGCCAAAAGAACAAAAGTCTGTTAGAAGTGCTAACAGACAGACTGGTGCAGAGGTGGGCACCCTGTTGGTCCATGGTGTGGATAATCTGCCTGATGTCAGTGTCCAGGTAGAGACAAGGATGGGCAGAAATGCAGGCAAAAGTGATCTGGATGAACACATCCAGAATCAGAGATAGGAGAGGTTTCCATTTAAAATGCTAGACTACCGCATCCACACTTCCTGAAACAATACAGGTGGCAACCATTTTGCTTGTGTTCAACTGATGCACAGGTCATTTTGGAACTGGAAGAGGGCTTAACAGGGCAGGGTTATGCGTGCTCCAGCAAATCATGTGAATGCCCAGAATGCTGCCCCCGCACAAATGGGGAGTTGCCTGTACGCAAATCAAAGCACAGCCACCCTTCAGCATTTGCACTTCTTTGAACTTGCAGTTCTCTAACTAATCCTCAATTATTATTTTTTACAAGAATATGTATATTAGGGGAAAGTGTGCATTGCAAGCATGCATGTCGTAAAAATGCATTATATCAAGGAAGCTGCTTGCAGAAGTGTGTGTGTTTGTGTGTTAGGAGAAATGTACACTAAAATTATGGCAATTTTTTGGTGAGGAGGGTCCTTTTCCAGGTCAAAACTGATGTGCAATTGTAAAGAACAAACCTAAAACTGGAAAAATGATAAAACAGATAAACCAAAACCAATAAATTGATCTATTAACCCTAACTGGATTAAAGGTTGTCCTGTTAAGAAAGGGGTTGCTCCATTTCATTTTTACTTAAATAACAGCAGCCATGGTGCATGGGAAAGTGGTAAGTTAGTCTTTTCTCATCACACCACAGACTCAATGAAAGCTGCCCTTCCCAGAGCTGTTCCTCATCATGGCAACTATTTGATTGCAGGAGAAAACCAAACCACACATTTAACATAGTGTATAGTTTGGCCCTGAGTCTATAAGGACCATGTGCTGCTAGCATCCCATTGCTGCATTATTAATCAAGACATGGAAGCTGAATTTGCAAACCACCAATTCTGGAATACAGTACTGTATGTGCTTTCCAGCCTGTGTTGCATTTTTAATTTTACACATCTTAGGCAGAAGCAGGCAGGAAACATCTGGCAAGCAACCACAGCAGCAGCTGTCCATTCATCAGCAATGAGGTATTTGAAACTTGTATGTTGTATCCCCGCCCCCCTTAAGAGAAAATGTTTCATTCCAGAGTACAGTGGTACCTCAGGTTACATACGCTTCAGGTTACAGACTCCGCTAACCCAGAAATAGTGCTTCAGGTTAAGAACTTTGCTTCAGGATGAGAACAGAAATTGTGCTCCGGCGGCGCAGCGGCAGCAAGAGGCCCCATTAGCTAAAGTGGTGCTTCAGGTTAAGAACAGTTTCAGGTTAAGAACGGACCTCTGGAACGAATTAAGTACTTAACCCGAGGTACCACTGTAATACAAAGAAGCAATTTGTACCTTGTCTCTATCTTGGCAAAACTGCATCTCAAGCATCAGCAATTTAAACACTGAGGATTGCTTTAAGCCAGTCACAGGGTGTTCCAAAAAACTACAATTTCATCTTTAATACACAGTGGACTTGAACCCATGAAACCTTATGCTGCAATAAAAGTCTTTAAGGTGCTGCAAGATTCTTTGTTGTTTTAACCCTAGGTTTGTAAACAATTGATCACCTGGGTGATCAGGAATTGTCTCCAAGCAACCAAACGGGGAAGAGTTTGTAAACTGAAAGAGAATTAGTTTGTTTTCATCTTCAGACCGAAGAAGATATGTGTCAGATGGTAACTTATTTACAAGACTAAACCATATTCCAAATTTCTCAAAATACATCCTGTAATGTTAAGGAGAAGCACCAAGCAGACACAGTATATGCTGGATTTTAATATACACAGGAAATCTTAAACTGCTATTAATAATGTTTTAAGACTATTACATTTCCAGTTTTGTTTTTTGTTTTTTAAATGCAAATAAGGATTGGCATGTCTTATCATTGCACAGCACGCTGCCACAGATTTGTAAGGGGAAATGCATGAAACTGGAAGCCAAGAGATTATTGACCTGTTAGACTCAGACTGGCTGGACATCACACCCACAGGAAGAAAAACAAAGTATAACAAGCCACTGAAGCTTCAACCACAAGAGCATAAGAGGAGTTTTCTGGGCCATCCCATCCAGTCCAGCATCCTGTTCTCACAGTGGCCAACCAGCTGCCCATGGGAAACCCACATGCACAGGAGCACTCTCCCTGCTTGAGGTTTCCAGAAACTGCTATTCAGAAACGTAACTGCCTCCAACCACAAACCACAGAAACCCTACCTAGCCCTTCTGTGGTCTCTGAAACACTACCAGACACTATCCAGACCATATTACCACTTCAGCATTAACTTTGATAGTTTTGTCCACATTGAACAAAAATGCACTACTGTCCTTATGCTACAGCAAAGTTATGAAACTCAAAGGTCCATACATTTTTTTGCTGGCCTTGGTAGCAAAGACAAGACCTGTTATTGTTAGGATCCATCCCTCGCCATTGGCACAATTTTCTATGCCTGCTTGCCGAAAAGCCACATTATGTTCTATGGGGCTTACACACCTAGGGACACGTGTGTAGAGGATTGCAGTCCTGACCTCACATTGCACCTCCATGGGAAGTCAAGGACAATTCCCCTTCTGCAGCTCTAAACCTTAGGTGCTGGGGGAAGGGATTACAGTGGTACCTCAGTTTAAGAACAGTCCTGTTTAAAAATGATTCGGTTTACGAACTCCGCAAAACCGTAAGTAGTGTCCCAGTTTGAGAACTTTACCTCGGTCTAAGAAGGGAATCCGAACAGTGGAAGGGCACTAGCAGCGACAGGCCTCATTTGGGAAAGCATGCCTCAGTTTAAGAATGGTTTTGGTTTAAGAACGGACTTCCGGAACAGATTAAGTTCATAAACGTACCACTGTATTATTATTATTATTAGTAGTAGTAGTAATAGTAATAGTAATAGTAATAGTAGCAGTATACCACCCTGTACCTGTAGATCTCAGGGCAGTTCACAACATAAAATCACAATATGAACACAAAATACATGATAAAAATAGAAACAAAAACAACCCAAGAATCCACAACACAAAGCAGCCAGTCCCAACTTTTCTCACTAGGTTGTAGACATAAAGTAAAGCAAGCATCTTTTCTATCACTACGCTGAGCTCTCTGAAGGTCAGTGCAATTGAAGGGGTGATTTCTCTACCCACCCACCCAAGTTTCCAAGCTAGAGGGGAATGTTGGGGCTCCCCTTGCCATCGCTGCCTTTGGGCAAAAACTAATGTGGCAAGAATGGCAAACAGAAATGTAAACCCAAACTTACAACCTTTTTTCTTTTGATAGGTCTTTGGCCCAATTGACAATGCCTGCCTCCCCTGTTTTTGTGGCTGTGTTAACTGCTACACTTTGCCTAATTTTCTTGAATGCATTTATTTTTAATTTTGATTTAATCTATATTAGACATTTCTAAAAGAAACTGAAAGCCAAGGTAAAATGCTTTATAACTTTCAGACCTCACATTTCTGGTGTAGAGCCTGGCAGGCTACTAGCTTGCTATTTGAAAGCTACTGTAGACAAGAAGAAGCCTGTTAGTCCTGGATGAAAAGAGCTGCTAGACGAAGGCATATGGGCTATGCTGTTATGTTTGGGCTAAGTAAGTTAAAGCGAATGAGGTGTGTGCAGGTATCCTGGGAAAGGGCAAGTAAAGGTTCGCAGGAAATAAACTCCTCACATGCTGCTCACCAAGGCTTACTGGGAGGCATAACTTGCTACGTGCTGTAAGGTGCATTCAAGCTTCTTTTCCTTTTTCCATCCCATCCTTCCTCCAAGGTTCTCACAGTGGCACACATACACTCCTGCAAAGTAGGTTAGGCTGAGAGGCACCCACGTGGCCCAGGATCATCCTTTGGGGCTTTGAAACCAGTCAACCCAAGTATAAGCCCACTGCAGTCATTACATCTTGCAAGGTGGTTTATTTACAAAGCGTTTGTACACTCCTCTTGAGTGCCCAATAAGGTGCTGAGTGGGGAGAAGAGACCTATCTATCTATACAAACCATGCATACTGGGGGGGGGGGGGGGACAAGTAGCAAAACTTTCAGGCAAAGCAGAAAACAGCCTGCCAGCTTTTTAATTCTGTCAGCTTCCTCCCAATTTTAATTCTGTTAACTTGGCTGACAGCTCCATCACAGAGCAGGAGACTCTTAAATCTCAGGGCCGTGGGTTCGAGTTCCACACTGGGCGAAAAAATCCTGTCTTGCAGGGGATGGAACTAGATGATCCTCAGGGGTCACTTCCAACTCTATAAATAGTCAATGGTTCTAAATTCTCAACAATGGGATATTAGCTCCGCCCAAGGCATGATAGAGAACACTGGGAAAAGATAGACATAATATTTTACAAGGACAGGAAGAAACATCACAGACAGAATAATTACCACACACAGGAAGAAGAAGGATATAGTTTGAACACTTCACCTGCAGGTTTATAAATCATTTAATGTGTCCATACAAATGGAAGTTGTTAATGTTGGAGTTGTTGTAGAAGGGATTGCTATGTTGACTGGAGTGTAATTGAAATTAATAAGATTTTGGAACGCAGAAATAAAGTAAATAATCAAACCATCAATTCTAGCATGCAGAGGGGACACCGAAATTATATAAATTGGCATCTGAATGATTGATACTAGTAACTGTATTGCAATTTGGCATTGCTATAATGAGGCTGTTATTGGATTATTGCAATTGAAAACCAAAAAAAATTATTTTAAAAAATAAATTCTAAATTCTCATCCAGAGACACTTAGGCGGTAGGAACGAGAAACGGCCACGCTAGGCAAGCAATAGGTGCGGCAAATTGGGACTCCGCACCTGGAACGGGGGTGGGGGGAGTAATAGCTTGAGAGAGCTGCGGTCCTTTCTCCAGAGACTACAACTCCCATCATCCTCGGCCGCCGACCGGCGCTGCTTTCGCACAGGATGGAGGAAAAAGAAGCCTGAAGGAAGTTTTGGCTGAGGAGCGCAGAACATATATATACATACACACACACGAACATACTCCTCTAAGCAGCGAATAGCGGGAACGGGCTGAGGGCTGAAGAGACGAGGGGCAAACCAGCGGGAGAAGAAAATAAGTTTTTTGGGGGCGGGGAGAACCCCCCCCCCTCGCGCACACGGGAGAAGCAGCAGCTTCAGGAAGCCCAAACACACCCCTTTAAAAAACAAGGTGCGGCACAAACCAGAAACCCACCTGTCGCGGGGCTGGGGGGAGAAGAGAAGACACCCACAGCAGGCACTTCCGGCCTCCTTCCCTCCTCAGGCACAGACTGACAGGAAGCTTAAAAGCGGACGCCTCAGGGTGGAGGGGCAGAGCCGGCCCCGCCCCGCCATCCCGCCTCTGCCCAATCAGACGCCGCTATTTCCTCGAAGCCCCGCCCCTCCCCGCCTGCTTTCTCCCACGCTGCCTCGCGCCTTCTCCCCGCTCTCAGGGGAGGGGGTGTGGGACAAAATGGCTTCAGGGATAAGCCACGCCCAGGCGGCGAACGAGGCCGGCGGTGACGTCACCCGCGCGGGCGGGTTTCTCCTCCCGCCCCTTTCAAGGCCCTCCAATAACGCTTCCTCCTTTCTTCCTGTCTCGTTCTGATTGGTTCCTGGGAGCTGCCCGTGATTTCCTATAACTACTTTGGCTGCGGGAAAACGCAGTACAGTAGTAAGAAGAAGTGCTGTTTTTCTTTAAAAAAAAAGTTTAGGGTACTCTCATTTTGACTCAAGACAATCACCATTTTATAGTTCAAATCGGGAAAAATACAATAAACAGACAAAAGTATAAATATTCACAAAATGTTTAGGGGTCTGCGTCCCCCTAGGAAAAAACCCCAATAAAATAATAATGGCTTGAGAGCGTTATATCCGGCTGGATCTTTTTCAATTGTTTTCTCGACGGGTGTGACTCGAATTCAGAACGGGAGTGGCAAGATGTTAGTCTTTCCCAGCATACACACACAAATTACTATGTAAGACAGTAAATCTGTTAAACAAAAATGACAAGCAAGGACTGTATGATGACTTGCACATGTAAGCATATGGTCTCAAACTGACTTTCTCTTATATGCTGCTTTTTGCGACAATGGCGACTGTTACTACTGATCCTAAGCTAAATAGTTTAGTTGCCCAGCCCTGCTTCGGATCCTCCACCAACTACCGTCCCTTCCCGAACCCACAGCTCTCAACTGCCTCACCTGCAACATTGAAAGCCTCATCCAATCTTCACTCACCTCCAGCATTCCACCCTCACTCTTTCCCCTCCCTCCCTCCTTAACGTTCCCTTAATAATTCCAATACAATCGCCTTCGTCACCCTGTTGCACTGGTTTTCAACTTCCAGGAGCGTTTAGGTGAGCCCCGGGTGGCTGTCCTTTCATTAACCTGCAGCCCAGATCTTCTTGCTTTCTCTCTTTCTCTCCGAGGCACATTCAGGGAGAGCCGGCAGCTTAACTTGCAACCCGTTATCTTCCTGCATCTCTTCCCTACCGCCCCCCCCCCCCGTTTATCTTCTTAAAATATCCACACCCACCCACGAAAAATTCCTCCCCAGCTTCAGTAACTAACAGTTCCTCGGTTTTACACAAAGGGCTTCAGAAATAATTAAGTATTTTGATGGTGTGTGTGCCTGGGTGGCTGGGTGTGCTATAACGAGGAATTTTAAAAAAAACCTCTGAAAGTGGGGTCTTTTATGTTTCTCCTCCTACCCCAAACATCCCTCCCCCATTTCTTCTTTACCTACCCCGCAGGTAACCCCCCATCCCTCTTAACAATTATCCAGCTTTGTTAGGGTTGCTGTATTTCAAAAAGTAAAAACCAGGACACCCCAAAGTTGTTGAGGTTTGACTTGTCTAAGATCCAGGACAAGGCACCGCCTTTCAGAAATTCTGCCCAAATGTCAATTCCATCTGGGAAATCCCAGTAATGCCAGCCCTAATTGTGGGGACAGGCAGAATGTTGCAGTAAAGGACCATGCCTGCATGTATCCCTGTCCTGTGTGTTTGTTGCTTTCCTACCTCGCAATAAGAAAGCATTTCTGCTGCTGATCTTAATCTTGTTTTGCCCTCTCCACCCCCAGATATACTCTAATTTTGGGAAAGCTTGGGGCTGCCCTGTGAAGTATGTCAGCTCAGCCCTCAGCAGTGTGCTCCCACTTTACGCACATGCCCGCTGGCTGTTAAAAGCCTCTATTACCAGTAATACTAGTACTACTAATCATTTTATTTATACCCCCAGCCACTCTGGGCAGCTAAAGGATGGAGGGGGCCCCTAAGATGCACTATGGTCTCATCCCACTACACTTTGACACCCCCCTTTATTCTTTATTATTAATACAGTTGCCTGACAACCCAGCAGCCTGACCCCTGTTTCCCAGCTGATGTCACAATGGGCAGGTTTGCAAGCAGGCATCATAATGCCCTGAAAGAGGGATGCCTGTCAGTCTGATGGTGATACACTTGCCAAGGCAAGTGCTGCCCATAAGTGATCATGAGCAGGAACTGTGAAGGTAAGAGGAGCTCAGATGCCAGGTTCTCGGGCTGGGGAGGGACCCTGTGCATTGGAAATGGAAAACCAGGAGGGTGTTGAGTGTCACAGGATTGTGCCTTGACTTTAAGGGGAACATTGGGGAGATGGGTTTTGCTCGTGCTCAAGGGCTAAGATTGCCACATAGGTTTTCCCACATATTAGAGGACAGGAAGGGATTCCCCTGAGAACTGTGCCAGGCAAGGAATCTATGGGCTGGCTTATGAAAACCACACCTGATTGAGCACTGATTGAGTCCATTAAGCTAAGATGTAATGAATTTTAAATAGAGGATTGAGTAAAGTGATGAATATTTATGAACACAATGTTAGAGTTTTAAGGTAGCAAGAATTATATCATGCATATGACTGAAGGAAGTCACATGGGTATTTGGGTAAATGGTGAGTTAGGTATAGGGTTTAGGGTTAGATGTGAGGAATGCGTATATATAATATTATATATGTAATGTATAATGTTGAAAATGAACGGCAACTAACATGTAAAATAAATAAATAGAGGGAGGAGGAGAAAAAAAATAGAAATAAAACCACACCTGTGCTTCCTAGGCACATGAGCCCAATGGAAATAAGCATGCGCCCTAAAAGTACGCTGTGTACACAGTCTATGGTTTTAAGGGAAAGGCCTCTAACGGGCTTTAGCTTGCACAGGACAGGAGCGTAGTGAGATTTATTTTGTATTATCTGTTTGCACCATCACTGTTTGCGACCCTTTACAAAGAGGCTGCTGTCCTGAGCGGCTGAAAATCTTTAATTTGGCACAGGGAAGCAACTGGGAAAGGTTGAAGGTCCAAGGTTGGCTCCCGTGTCCTGCCAGGGTCTGTGAATTTAGACTTCTGGGTTCCCCGGCATTTCCCATATATTATCTCTTTCTTTGCTTTTATTTTCCTTTCTGTCTCCTAGGTCCTAAGGCATGAAGGTCAGAGAAGCTGCTATGGCGGCGTGGACAAGCTGAGAAAGGGGAGGCCACCATACTTCAAAGTGGCATCTCGCAGGTGACGGGCACTGTGATTTTTGCAGCAGGGAGAGAGATTTGCTGCATGGTTCCCTTTCTGAGCTTAGCCCCCAACATATGCAGGTATAAGGTGGGCACCATACTGGACATGAGAGTTTAACTGTGGTGAGGGAGGAGGAAACCATTTCGCAGCCATCACCAGGAGCCACTCTGCCCCTGTGTGGCTGCTTCTCGAGGTTGCTGCAAACACCTGGGTTGGGCCACTGTTTCCTTCTGATTCTCTGCATAGATGTGTTCATGGGGGGTGGGACTGCAGCAAATAGCCCCTTAGCAGCAGAGATGCTTTGCTTGCAGAAGATTCAACCCTTTGTATGAAGCGTCAGGTAGCAGGTTGCGGGAAGATTTCTACCCAGTGGTGGCTGGTGCCCACTGTGGTTTCCCCATTCACATGTGCAAGCCTTCACTTGAAGTTGCAGTGATATATGAAGCAGCTTGCCTCATCTGAACATCAGCTGCCGTTACAAGTTGAGCGCAACTGGAGAATGGAAGTAGTAGAACCTTTCTACATGAGATCAGAAAGGAAGGGCTCTAGTTCCTTGAGAAGTTAGTCAGCCAGGCTTCCTTTGGAAGTTATGGCATGTTAATTCCGTTGGATATCCAATCCCCACATATACCAGGAAGATACTATATCCTGCTTCCTTTGTGGGGCCATGCTTCCAGAGAATGGTCTCAGTCTCCAGCTCCCAAGATGATGGACAAGACGACAACCAAGCCATCCATGCAGTTCTTGGCTGCCATTTCTGGATGCCAGCGAATCCTCAAAGAAAAATCTTGATCCTCGTGCCTCTTCTCCACTGCCCCTTCTCTGTGTGGGCATGGCTCCTTCTCTGACTTCTGCTGCAACCAGATATTTGGTCCAGAAGCAGTGGCTCAAGTTTTCTCTTCTGAAGACAACAGCGGGGAGCCCAGCCAGGCTAGATAGCCAACCATTTCAAGGCGGAAATATTGGCTTCTGAGTGAAACTGTCCCGGATGTAGCAGAGGTAGGAGGAAATGCTTCCTTCCCATGTCCTCCACCATCATGGCCCAGACTGGTGCTAGCATGGCTTGGAGCCGATGTCTCCGTTTGCTTTGCAGCAAGGGAAAGCAGCAGCCTTGCTTTGGGAACCGCCTCTGTTGTCCCATCCTCATCCTGGGAGAGACTGGAGTCCAGAAGGAGGACAGATGACTCACAGGTACTGGGGCAGGAGGAAGGAGAGGGTCCTTATGAAACACATAAGAAGAGCTTGCTGGATCAGGCCCATGGCCCATCTGCTCCAGTATCCTCCTACCCCATGGCTACTCAGATCCATGGGGAAAACCTGTAAGAACCCTCTTTCCAGCCGTGACTTCCAGCAACGTAAAAGGAAACCCTTTGCTCTGGAGGAAGATCTCTGTGTGTGGAGAGAAACACTCGCTTGAGTGCTCGTTTCTGGGTAGATTCCCCCTTTGTCTAGTCCTCTCCTTCATCCTATTTGCTGGATCATATTTCTGAGCGAATTTTTTCACACACCCACCCTTGTCTGACCCTCCCTCCTCCCAGCTTTTTCATTTCTACTTCATTATTTTTGCATTTCTCTCCTCTCCCCACTGCCTGTCATCTGGGGAAGGGAAGAGTGTATAGGGGGCAGCTGGATTCTGCCCCGATTGCCGGGAGGAGTCCACAGAGGCAACTGGGCCAGAAGTTTGAATTTCCCGCCCTTTTCTATTTTTTAAAAAAAGGCAGGAAACACCATTTTGTTTCAACAGCTCAGCCATTTTGTGGGACGCCATTTTGTTTCAACAACTTAGCCATTTGGTTCTCCTCCCTCCTGCGTGTGAAACTGGAGGGGCTGTTCAACTGCCTGCTGGGGGGGGTCTTCTTATGGAGGCCCCCAATGCTGCCACCCTCTTCCAACTGCTCAATGATCTCCGAAGCTACAGTCTCGGGGAAAGCGGAGAGGCAAAAAAACATGGTGGCCAGTGTCATCTCTGCGCTGCTGGCCTTTGCCCAAAGCTTTCCCCACTTCAGAAACACAGTAGCTCGGCCGGAGTCGGCCTCACTCTGGCCAAATCGAAGCGAAGATGATCTCATCCTCGAAGACTTATAGTCTTAAAGTGGAAAAGGAGCAAACATGGAGTCAGCAATCGCAGCACAAGGCACGGGGGACCAGGACACAGATTTCTTACACAGTGGGAAGAAACCATTTAAGTGCAAAGAGTGTGGAAAGAGCTTCATACAGAAAGAAAGTCTCAGATCTGCTAATATTTTAAATTTAATCCCTGGGTCGTCCCCCCAGTTAAATTTTGATATGTCTCTTTGCTATTGTTTGAAGCAGTATAACCGGTATAGTTTGAAACAGAAATAGCATCTTTGGGGGTACATTCATCTCCTGCTGAAAGATTTTCATCCTTCCCCATTGTAGCCTTATGAGGCTTTGCCCTCGGGTGGGAAAAATATTGCGCCTGGGAAAGGGAAGTGGGAGTCAACAGACACTCAAGGAATAGTTCGGAGAAAAGGCCTTTTATTTCTACCATCCATGAACTGGTAGAAGGAGCAAGTGTGATAGTTCACAAAAAGCATGCACGAGTTCACAATCATGTGCACAAGCATATATACCCCTTTCCAGTTCCCTCCCCCTTTCTCCTCCCTCAGGAGTTCCTCTGAGCATGAACAGAAAGCTGTCTTGGGACTATTGTGGACTCTTGGCACCCTTCCCAGG